TTGCATCGTTTTTTTGGAGGATTTCTTTTGCTGACTTTTGCTGCTGTCCGTCAACATTCAGACACGTGCATATCACTCCGCCTCAGTCTGGCACTACTTTCTGCCAGCACTATTCTCTGCCTTTCAGGCATGTGCAGATCACTCTGCCTCCTTCTGTAAGTTGTGGGAGATGTTTGTACAAGTCCAGGTGGCGGGTGCAGCAGCGGCACATTAAATCAGCTGTAATACCCCTCATGGCCAGCGTTGGTTATACTCATGATTTATGCGGTTACTTGGTGAGTAAATATTATTAGCAAATAAATTTTCTGCTTCCAACTCATGATACAACAACACAATGCTGGGCTCTCTGGTAAGATTGTTGATATAGCTGATAACTACAACATTACATTACGGCTACCGGACCTTTCAAGAGTTAAAGGGGATATGAAACACTGAAATAAATCAACACCATATGGATGTAGGGATTATTAAGACACACAACTGAAATAACTGTTTGAAATGTCAGCCATCTTAGAGAAAATCATTTTTCAATATTTCTTTTTGCATGTGCTCGCCATCATCTTTGTTCATTGTCATAGCCTACGTCATTAGATTGGTTACTTCCTGCGGCTGCAGATAGAAGTAAGCTACTAGTATAAGCAATGGTTGCAGTGGGACAACGACTAGTTGTTAATAAACAATTGGTTTATGTAGAGTAAGAATGTCAGAGGATGAAGCCAAAAGGTGTTTCAATGATTCTCAATTAAAGTTCTGTGGTTTTCCAGAATGTAGATGATCTATAAAACAAAGTCTTTCAATTAACTTCACTTTGCGTCTTAATTTGTGAGATGTCTACATTTATATTTTCCCAGTTTGGCTTGAACAGATCTTTGTCCAACCTAAAAAGTGTCTGTCAAATAGGTCTGTGGATTTTTCCTGGGTGATTCATTGTGAGATTTTTTAAAGGTTGATTTAATCACATAATGAAGGATACCATGTTGTTACTTTTTGCAGGAAGCTTCCTTTTATTGCTGTAACTAATTTGAATGTAGAAATGGCCCATGGTTAATTTTCACTCTGTCTTTGACTATAACCAGAGCCTTTCGAAATGATGCATGTCACCAATTTTCACAGTTTACTCTTTGTCAACACATGATTTAACAGGTTCATTGCTTTAAATAAATTTAAGATTTGTGTCATTTTACAGTTGAAACGGGTTTTGTCATGATTCACTTTAAGTAATTTGATATCTGTTTTCCTCCTGTCCCTTATTCAAGCAGAAACTAATGGTGATCCACGAACACTGCACAACTCCAGTAAGAAAAGGTATTGCAGTTCCCATCTACACACTGGGTCACAATTGGTCACTCTTCATTTTTGCCTATGATTGAGCGCCAATGACATACAGCATTTACAGTACACATACTAATGGTCACAGAATTTAGTAATGGCCTTGGCTATCTCTCTCTCTCTCTCTCTCTCTGTCTCTCTGTTGCCCTTGCACTGCTGCTCCAGCTGCTCCAGCACCACTGTTTGTTTTTGAAACCGGTTTATGTTGACAGCTAACATTAGCTGGCCCATAATTGTCTTTGTGACGTGGAGTGGAGTGGAAGCAAGATACAACCTCATAAGTACAAAGTCATCCATGGATTGTTCGTATCAACCTGAAACATCAAAATAGAGAGTCCATTAAAGCAGTAGTTCAACATTTCTGACCACACCACAGATCAGCTAACGTGTTAAATTGCTACGTTTGAGGCAATGTACTTTATGCTGCTAACATTGGCTAACTATTAGCTTGCTCACCTACCAATCGACTCCTGAAGGCAGAAGCTGGTACACAACAGTGCTTCACAAACTTATATTTTAACAACAAAATGAGGGTTTATAAAAAAATATGAAGTCATCGTGATGGTAAAGCAATAGTGGGAATGAAACAAACCTTGCTTTGAACGTCTCCTTGCTTCAGCAGTTGTGGCATCAATCTGGAGAGTGGGTGGTGCTTGGTTTCAAATGCCCGAATGTCTACCCAGTGTGTTGGGTAGTCTGCAATGAACCGACGAAACTGTATAGAAATTACAACCGGACAGCTTATAACTCTGTTCCCAACATAAATAACCTTGTGAATTGGGTACTCAGAATACCGAGCTCCATGAAAATAACCCAAATAAATTGACCAACAGGCTCAACCTAAAAAAAAAACAGCATGTTTTTGAGTGTTCTCTCTTCTTTGGATACCCCAATTTATGCTTTTTGGTCAGCTTGATGTCTAACCCCGAGGTCATTCAATCTGGTCTCACTGACATTACACTTGCCGTCAGTCACTGTTGGGCTGACTAAACCATAAAGAAAAACAGGTGAGGTGCTCTCAGTGACTCAGTTTGATGATTTTATTTTTTTCACCCACACAATAAAAAACCCATAATTGAAAAGCTCATAACATGTTGATCTACCAAAAGTGTCATTATAGATGTCTTTACAAACACACTGATCCAACAGAAGCAGACAGAAAAATCCATCAATGACATTCATACAAATATTCAGCAAACAGAGAAAGCACAGATCATTGGAAGTGTTTTTGGGGCGGACTGGAAAGACTTTAGACTGTTGGATCTGGGACAGGAAATAAGATTTTTCCTCTTTTGTTATTTTGACATCACTTTTTTTAGACCTTCAACATCTTCAACAACTGAAGGTGATTTGAACAAATGATCATCTTGATGTTGTTGTTATCAAACTTTCATGAAGATTTTTCAAGATGAGAAATACAAACAATGAAAGTTATCCACAAACACTGTCCTTAAAGCTGCGACCAAATCAGCCTCTTTGGAAAAGAATGAAAAAGCTGAAATGAAGAAATAAACCGACAGTTTTTGGTGAGACTGATCCACAAACATTTACAAACCAGAACATTTCAAGAGTTCAATGATCTCATTTACATGTTTTTGGTCTGATTGACTCAAAATTCTCTTTATTTCACTTCAATAATCTCAGCAGAGTCTCCATTGTATAATAACAGTCCAGCATGTAGTGGCTGAGTGGATGTGGTCTGGACTCTGTGGAGGAGAGTCATGGTTTCAGAGACGCTGTAGAAGGACAGAATACCTGCTCTGTGATCCAGGTACACTCCCACTCTGGAGGACAGAGGACCTGATACAGGAGTGCGGACTTTGTTGTGCACAAATTCATACCTGTCTTCATAACACTCTAACCTCCAAGATTTGTCATTTAATCCAAAGCAAGAATGATTTGAGGTCCCTGCCCTGCTGATAGACTTGAATGCAACTGCTACATCTACCCTGTCCCCTCTACGCTCCACCTCCCAGTAACAATGTCCAGTCAGACTCTCTCTACTCAGGACCTGTTTATAATGAGTAAATCTGTCTGGGTGTTTCAGATAAGACTGTTGCTGTTCTGTCCTTGTTGCTCTTCTGTTTCCATTAGATAATAACAGCTCTCTGTGTGCTGTGTTTGGATCCAGTGTGATTCTTTGTGAACATCTTAAGAAACCAGCTCTGGTCTTGGGTTCTCCTGGTTCTGGTGATTCTGACAGTAAAACATCCACTTCAGTCACTGCCTGTGAGACGTTTGTCCACGTCTCTGTCAGAAGATCCTGGAGTTTATCTCTGACCTCTGACACAGCTGCTGTCACCTCCTCAAAGTATCTCAGAGGATGGATGTTGATCCTGGATGAGTCTGCAGGTTGACCCGGTCCTGACAGTGAGGGGTAGCTGTGCAGAAACTGGTTGAGGTCCTCTGTGAGTGAGAGCTTCTGCAGATCAGCATCTTTCCTCTTCAGCTCAGTGATCTCCTGCTCCAGCTTCTCCTGAAGATCTTTGACTCGACTCACTTCATGTTCCTGCTGGGATCTGACCTGCTGCTCCACGTCAGAGCGGCGTTTCTCCATGAGACGGATCAGCTGGCTGAAGATCTCCTGGCTGTGCTCCACAGCTTTATCAGCAGAGCCGTTGATAGCCTCCACCTCCTGTTGGAGCAGCTTCACATCTTCCTCTCTGTCCTGGATTCTCTGCTGGATGTTTTCTCGACTCTCCTCCAGATCTTTCTGCCTCTCAGCTCTTTCTGCTGCAGCTGAGACTGTGTCATGGCCTTTGTGTTGTTCCACAGAGCAGAGAAAACATATCGACTGCTGATCAGTGCGGCAGAAGATCTTCATCACCTCATCATGACGAGAGCAGATGTTCTCCTGGAGCCTCTTGGAGGGCTCCACCAGCTTGTGTTTCTTTAATGGAGCCACTTCATAATGAGGCTGGAGGTGAATCTGGCAGTAAGAAGCCAGACATTGCAGACAGGACTTGACAGCTTTCAGTTTTCTCTCACTGCAGAAATCACAGGCCACATCTTCAGGTCCAGCATCAGAGGGATCATCAGGAGCAGCTTGGAGTCCGCTCTTCTTCAGTTCCTCCACTAAACCTGCTAACAGGGTGCTTTTCATCAGGACAGGCCTCGGTGTGAAGGGCTGTCTGCACTGAGGACAGCTGTAGATCTTCTTCTCATCCTCTTTATCCCAGTAGGTTTGAATACAGCTCATGCAGAAGCTGTGTCCACAGGTAACAGTCACTGGATCCTTCAGTAGATCCGAACAGATGGAACAAAAGAAAGATTCACGGTCCCGATGAACTCCTTTCTGGGCCATTTCAACACTCGCTCTCGACGACTGACAGAGTTTATTTTCCTCAGACGTCAGAATAGTCTGAGCTCTGATCATAACATGTGTGAGTCAGCAGGATCAGCTCAGCACCTGTGGTTACACCCAACCTCAGACTGTAGATCTGAAGGGGAGGGAACAAGGAGGTGAGTGTGATCCAGTGTGATTCTCTGTGAATATCTTAAGAAACCAGCTCTGGTCTTGGGTTCTGGTTCTGGTGATTCTGACAGTAAAACATCCACTTCAGTCACTGCCTGTGAGACGTTTGTCCACGTCTCTGTCAGGAGACTGTGTGAGTCAGGAGACTGTGTGCGTGCTGTGTGAGAGACGAGGGAGGGGAAATCCAGCTCTTGTATAATCCAGGAAGAGGAGCGGCAATGTGAATTTAAGATTCTCAAGTTCCAACAAGCAGAGGTTATTAAAGCTGCAGCCGTCCTGAAGATCAACTGCACCAACATTTATTCACCTCATATAAACCTCATGATCACAGAAAGACTTCCACTGTTTTATATCCACACATATTTAAATATACACCACATATAAACACACACTCTCTCTTTCTCTCTCTCTGGCTTTTTGACCTCTGAAGGAGCGTTAATTTTTCTGTTTTTCCTCCTTTGTGTTGTTTGTTTTGTGTTTGTTGTTCATTCTCTTTTTACCCTTCTCCTAATCCTTTCTCAAATCTGTGTCACTTCTTTCTCTGCCGTCCAGAAAGGTGATCTTCTCCAGTGTACCCAGCTGAGCCATGTGGTCTCTCACTGATGTCAGGTCCAGATGATCCTAAACAAGAGGAGCTCAATCTGGTGTGATCTGAGGGTTGATGACTTTGACTGTCATTGATGTCACCTCTGAAAATAGGAAATGTCTGCACTGTAAGAGGGAGGGCCGTCTGATTAGAGCCTGTCCATTTAGAGGTGAAGCTGCCTTCTTTCTTTTTCTTTCCTCTCTTTCTTCTTTGCAGTGTTGCTGTGCAGTCTCTTGCAGCTGAGACTGTGGGCTCAATTTTCGTGCGCGCTGGTGAGGCGGCGGAGGGCGGCGAGCCCCGCGCAGTTGTATTTTCGTCTGGCGGAGCCCAGCGTAAGGCCAGTTTGGTATTTTCGTGGACTGAGCCGCACGGAGGCGAGCCGAGATCCGCCAAGCTGGGCGTGGTGGCGTGGCAGGGGGAGGTGTCGACAGAATCAGCAGGCGCAGTGACATTTTCGTGCTCGCCACCGGCGTGTAAAGTGCGCTGAAAGCTCGCCGATTCAAACCTGGTCAGCTTTCTGCGCATGGCAGAGCGAAGCTGGTCTAGTAGTATTTTGGTAGACTGGCGGCGTATCGGCATACGTCACCGATGCCTCACCGGCAGGTTTCCACAGTGTCAGGCACATTTCAGTGCAATAAATAATCATCAACAACTATTAATCTGAGTCAGCACATTCATTTAGATCTATATAAATATATTCTGATCTATATGTGATCTGATGAGCGCGTTTGGCACGCGTTTGGACACACAACCTGACCGAATCAATACAGCTGAAACCGCATCAAATTAAATTAAATATCTAGTAAATAAACAAACATGATGAAGTGAACAAGATATTTAATTCGTCTCCCTCCTTTTCTTTCTTCCTCTTCCTCTTATTTCTCGCACAGCTCAACCTGGACACGTCTCCGTGTCCTCTTCTCGTCCTGCTGCTGCGGCTGAACAGATGATTTGTTTCAGTGCTCAGATGCGTGATCTACTTTAAGCCGACATACGGATATTATAATATTCAGTTTTGTGGGCCAAATTTATTTTATATGCCAACATCTATGAAAGAAAGAGCCAGGCCATGGAGCGCGATGCGTCATTTATGCACAGATGGTTCCAATTTTAATGCCATTTTTGGAGTTTCTGTTGTGATCTGTGCGCTCAACCCACCTTTGTCACGTGAGGTTTGAATATATGCAACTTTATGTGTGTCTTTATTTGTGGAAAAGGGTGTTTGTCTTACCAGTGGGTCCAACATTACACACACCAAATCCATCTGTGCTCATATGAGAGAGTGTGGAGGACACTTGTTGAGGAGCTGCCCTCTGTCGCCATCTTGTGGCATTACTGTCTTACGACATCTCTTGATCTCTTTGACTACATGAAAATAGTAATACGCCTCGCCTGTGGCGGATTTAAAGGCAAGGAGAGGAGCCTATGTGATTGGTGAAAACAGGTCTCGGCTGTGTCAAACACACTACACGCCCTCTCTCCTCCCCGTCTACGACTTATGCTGCTGGGAGGAGCTGAGTTAGGGAGGGGGGATACTTACGCCGGGCTGCGCGGCTCACCAAAATACCAAAATGTGCTTGGGAACGCCTTGTCAGCGCGGCGGATCTGACTGACGCTGCGCTTGCGGCACGTCTCCGGCGAGGCACGAAAATAGAGCCCTGTGTCATGGCCTTTGTGTTGTTCCACAGAGCAGAGAGAACAGATAGACTGTTGATCAGTGCGGCAGAAGATCTTCATCACCTCATCATGACGAGAGCAGATGTTCTCCTGGAGCTTCTTGGAGGGCTCCACCAGCTTGTGTTTCTTAAATGGGGCCACTTCAAAATGAGGCTGGAGGTGAATCTGGCAGTAAGAAACCAGACATTGCAGACAGGACTTGACAGCTTTCAGTTTTCTCTCACTGCAGAAATCACAGGCCACATCTTCAGGTCCAGCATCAGAGGGATCATCAGGAGCAGCTTGGAGTCCGCTCTTCTTCAGTTCCTCCACTAAACCTGCTAACAGGGTGCTTTTCATCAGGACAGGCCTCGGTGTGAAGGGCTGTCTGCACTGAGGACAGCTGTAGATCTTCTTCTCATCCTCTTTATCCCAGTAGGTTTGAATACAGCTCATGCAGAAGCTGTGTCCACAGGTAACAGTCACCGGATCCTTCAGTAGATCCAAACAGATGAAACAAGAGAAAGATTCCCGGTCCAGACCAACTCCTTTTTGCGCCATTTCAACACTCACTGTCAACAACGACTGACTGAATGAGTTTCATTTCCTCAGAAGTCAAACTAGTCTGAGCTCTGATCTCAACAACATGTGTGAGTCAGCAGGATCAGCTCAGCACCTGTGGTTACACCCAAACTCAGACTGTAGATCTGAAGGGGAGGGAACAAGGAAGTGTGAGCTGTGTGAGAGACGAGGGAGGGGAAATCCAGTTTTTTTACAATCCAGTAAGAGGAGCGGCGATGTGAACTTTAGACTCTCAAACTCCAACAAGCAGAGGTGATTAAAGCTGCAGCCGTCCTGAAGATCAACTGCACCAACATTTATTCACCTCATATAAACCTCATGATCACAGAAAGACTTCCACTCTTTTATATCCACACATATTTAAAGATACACCACATATAAACACACTCTCTCTCTTCTCTCTCTCTCTCTTTTGACCTCTGAGGGAGCATTAGTTTTCTAACTCTTTTTCTTTCTTTATGTGTTGTTTGGTTTGTGCTCTTTGTTTATTCTCCGTTTACCCATCTCCTAATCATTTCTCAAATCTGTGTCTCCTCCTTCTCTGCCGTCCAGAAAGGTGATCTTCTCCAGTGTACCCAGCTGAGCCATGTGGTCTCTCACTGATGTCAGGTCCAGATGATCCTAAACAAGAGGAAGGAGGAGCTCAATCTGGTGTGATCTGAGGGTTGATGACTTTGACTGTCATTGATGTCACCTCTGAAAATAGGAAATGTCTGCACTGTAAGAGGGAGGGCCGTCTGATTAGAGCCTGTCCAATTAAAGGTGAAGCTGCCTTCTTTCTTTTTCTTTCCTCTTTTTATCTTTTTGATACCCTGATTTTTGCTTTTTGGGCAGCAAGATGTCTAACTTCCAGGTCATTCAGTCTGGTCTCACTCACTGACATTACACTTGTCGTCAGTCGCTGTCGGGTGGACTAAATCATAAAGAAAAAGATTCGAGGTGCTTTCAGTGACTCAGTTTGATGATTTTTATTTTTTTCACCCACACAATCAAAAACTCATAATTGAAAAGCTCATAACAAGTTGATCAACCAAAAGTCTCATTATAGATGTCTTTACAAACAGACTGATCCAACAGAAGCAGACAGAAAAATCCATCAATGACATTCATACAAATATTCAGCAAACAGAGAAAGCACAGATCATTGAAAGTGTTTTTGGGGCAGACTGGAAAGACTTTAGACTGTTGGATTTGGGACAGGAAATAAGATTGTGCTTCTAAAGTCTTAGACCTTCAACATCTTCAACAACTGAAGGTGATTTGAACAAATGATCATCTTGATGTTGTTGTTATCAAACTTTTGTGAAGATTTTTCAAGATGAGAAATACAAACAATGAAAGTTATCCACAATCACTGTCCTTAAAGCTGCGACCAAACCAGCCTCTTTGGAAAAGAATGAAAAAGCTGAAATGAAGAAATAAACTGACAGTTTTTGGTGAGACTGATCCACAAACATTTACAAACCAGAACATTTCAAGAGTTCAATGATCTCATTTACATGTTTTTGGTCTGATTGACTCAAAATTCTCTTTATTTCACTTCAATAAACTCAGCAGAGTCTCCATTGTATAACCACAGTCCAGAATGTAGAGGCTGAGTGAATGTGGTCTGGACTCTGTGGAGGAGAGTCATGGTTTCAGAGACGCTGTAGAAGGACAGAATACCTGCTCTGTGATCCAGGTACACTCCTACTCTGGAGGACTGAGAACCTGAGACACCTTAGGGTGTTTAAGATAAGACTGTGGTTGTGGTTGTAGTGAAAATGTTGCTCCTCTGTTTCCATCAGAAAATAACAGATGTCTTTCTGCTGTGTTTGGATCCAGTGTGATTCTTTGTGAATATCTTACGAAACCAGCTATGGTTTTGGGTTCTGGATCTAACAGTAAAACATCCACTTCAGTCACTGCCTGTGAGACGTTTGTCCACATCTCTGTCAGAAGATCCTGAAGTTTATCTCTGACCTCTGACACAGCTGCTGTCACCGTCTCAAAGTATCTCTGAGGACGGATGTTGATCCTGGATGAGTCTGCAGGTTGACCCGGTCCTGACATTGAGGGGTAGCTGAGCAGAAACTGGTTGTGGTCCTCTGTGAGTGAGAGCTTCTGCAGATCAGCGTCTTTCCTCTTTAGCTCAGTGATCTCCTGCTCCAGTTTCTCCTGAAGATCTTTGACTCGACTCACTTCTTGTTCCTGCTGGGATCTGACCTGCTGCTCCACGTCAGAGCGACGTTTCTCCATGAGACGGATCAGCTGGCTGAAGATCTCCTGGCTGTGCTCCACAGCTTTATCAGCAGAGCCGTTGATAGCCTCCACCTCCTGTTGGAGCAGCTTCACATCTTCCTCTCTGTCCTGGATTCTCTGCTGGATGTTTTCTCGACTCTCCTCCAGATCTTTCTGCCTCTCAGCTCTTTCTGCTGCAGCTGAGACTGTGTCATGGCCTTTGTGTTGTTCCACAGAGCAGAGAGAACAGATAGACTGTTGATCAGTGCGGCAGAAGATCTTCATCACCTCATCATGACAAGAGCAGATGTTCTCCTGGAGCTTCTTGGAGGGCTCCACCAGCTTGTGTTTCTTAAATGGGGCCACTTCAAAATGAGGCTGGAGGTGAATCTGGCAGTAAGAAACCAGACATTGCAGACAGGACTTGACAGCTTTCAGTTTTCTCCCACTGCAGAAATCACAGGCCACATCTTCAGGTCCAGCATCAGAGGGATCATCAGGAGCAGCTTGGAGTCCGCTCTTCTTCAGTTCCTCCACTAAACCTGCTAACAGGGTGCTTTTCATCAGGACAGGCCTCGGTGTGAAGGGCTGTCTGCACTGAGGACAGCTGTAGATCTTCTTCTCATCCTCTTTATCCCAGTAGGTTTGAATACAGCTCATGCAGAAGCTGTGTCCACAGTTAACAGTCACCGGATCCTTCAGTAGATCCAAACAGATGGAACAAGAAAAAGATTCACGGTCCAGACCAACTCCTTTTTGCGCCATTTCAACACTCACTGTCAACAACGACTGACTGAATGAGTTTCATTTCCTCAGAAGTCAAACTAGTCTGAGCTCTGATCTCAACAACATGTGTGAGTCAGCAGGATCAGCTCAGCACCTGTGGTTACACCCAACCTCAGACTGTAGATCTGAAGGGGAGGGAACAAGGAGGTGAGTGTGCAGAGTGGAGTGCTGTGTGAGAGACGAGGGAGGGGAAATCCAGTTTTTCTACAATCCAGTAAGAGGAGCGGCGATGTGAATTTTAGACTCTCAAACTCCAACAAGCAGAGGTTATTAAAGCTGCAGCCATCCTGAAGATCAACTGCGCCAACATTTATTCACCTCATATAAACCTCATGATCACAGAAAGACTTCCACTGTTTTATATCCACATATACTTAAAGATACACCATATTCTGCCTTCAAGGAAGGTGATCTTTTCCAGTCTACCCAGCTGAGCCATGTGGTCTCTCACTGATGTCAGGTCTAGATGATCAAATCAGATCAAATTAAATGTTAATTATATAGCACCAATTTACAATAGTCGTCATTTCAAGACGCTTTCCAAAGAACAAGAGCAGGTCTAGACCACGCTCATTGTTTGATGATCAAGAACCAACCTAAGATGGGTTTTGGCCCATCTCAACTAACATGAGTAGCAGTGGCAAGAAAAAACTTCCTTTTAAGAGACAGAAACCATGAGCAGGACCAGACTCATGCCAGACAGCCACCAAGCTGCTGCTGGGTTTGTGAGGAATGTAGAGAGATGGAGGGAGAGAGGGAGAGAGAGAGAGAGAGAGAAGAGGGGAGAGGGCAGGGGGAGAGAGAGAGAGAACAAGATAAGGGGAAGGAGAGAGAGAATGAGTAAGGAGACGGAGGGGTAGGGAGAGAGAGTGGAGAACGAGGGTGAGAGCGAGACAGGGGACAGCAGAAACAACAGCAACAACAACAACAGCTCATGTAATGGTGAAACATAATGAGTTCCGTTTACAGGGTCAGGATCTGTGTAATTATGGACAATGTTAAATTAATTAGATGTGATTACAGTCAGCAGGCCTAATCGTAGTCAACTCTAGTTTTATGTTATTAGTGTCAGTGAGGCTGATGTTCATGTCTGCAGTAACAGTCCAGAGGAATCCAAGAGAAGAAGGAGCTCAGGGCCTGAGGTGGACAATCATAGACGATGCAGCTGGGGTCAGGCAGTTCCATAGCAGACTGTTTGCAGCATTAGTCCAGTTGAAGCTAAGAGACTCAGAGACACTCAGAGAGACAGAAATCTGGTTAGTGACTTAGACCTAGACCTATAGCAGCATAACTAAGAGCTGGTTCAAATCAGCCCCAACTATAAGCTTTATCAAAGAGGAACGTTTTAAGTCTACTCTTGAAAGTTGAGAGGGTGTCTGCCCCACGCACCTCGAGTGGTAAATGATTCCAGAGGAGAGGTGCCTGGTAGCTGAAAGCTCTTCCTCCAATACTACTTTTAGAGACATTTGGTACAACGAGCAGACCTGCAGACTGTGAGCTTAACAGTCTAGACGGAAAGTAAGGTATAACAAGCTTGTCGAGACATGATGGAGCCTGGCCGCTTTATATGTCACAAGGAGGATTTTAAACTCAATTCTAGATTTAATAGGAAGCCAATGAAGAGAGGCTAAGACAGGAGAGATGTGCTCCCTTCTCTTCTTCTGGTTCTAGTCAGTACCCGAGCTGCTGCATTTTGGACCAGCTGAAGAGTCCTTAGAGACTTTCTGGAGCAGCCTGATAAAAGAGAATTACAGTAATCCAGCCTAGAGGTAACAAAGGCATGGACTAGTTTTTCCGCATCACTCTGAGACAGGATGGGTCTAATTTTTGAGATATTGCGCAGGGGGAAAAAAGCTATCCCTAAGATTTGTTGAATGTGGGAGCTAAAGGACAAATCCTGATCAAATAAAACCCCCAGATTCTGCACAGTGGGGCTGGATGCCAGACTGATGCTATCTAGCATAGCTATATCATTGGAGAATGCCTCTCTAAGGTGTTTAGGACCGATGACAAGAACTTCAGTTTTGTCTGAGTTGAGCATCAGAAAGTTATTGGTCATCCAGGATTTTATATCTTTGAGACAAGCTTCTAATTTGGTAACCTGGTTTGCTTCTTCTGGCTTCATGGATCAGTATAACTGGGTGTCATCTGCATAGCAGTGGAAATTAATCGAGTACTTCCCCATAATTTTACCCAGAGGAAGCATGTACAAGGTAAAGAGGATCGGTCCAAGCACTGACCCTTGCGGGACTCTGTAGCAGACCTTGGTGTGTGCAGAGGATTCATTATTAACATGGACAAACTGGGATCGATCCGTTAGATAAGATTTAAACCAGGAAAGAGCGGATCCTGCTATGCCGATAGATTGCTCCAGTTTCTGAAGCAGGATGCGGTGGTCGATCGTGTCAAACGCAGCACGAAGATCCAACAGGACAAGAACAGAGAGAAGACCACTATCCGAAGCCATGAGTAGGTCATTTGTCACCTTCAGCAGAGCAGTCTCCATGCTGTGATGGGTTCTAAATCCAGATTGGAAATCCTCCGATAAACCATTGTTATGAAGAAAATCACAAAGTTGATTTGCAACAACTTTCTCCAGGACTTAAGAAATAAAAGGAAGGTTGGATATTGGTCTATAGTTAGCTAGGGTGCTTGAGTCAAGAGTAGGTTTTTTAAGGAGAGGCTTAATCAATGCAGTCTTGAAAGACTGGGGAACATATCCTGTTAATAAAGACGTGTTGATCAAGTTAAGCAAGGATGTACTGATCAGAGGAAGAGTTTCCTTTAGCAGTTTAGATGGAATTGGGTCCAAAAGACACGTAGATGTTTTGGCTGTCAGCACCACTGACTTTAACTCAGGAAGGTCAATAGGTACAAAGTTACTAAGGTGCACCAGAGGCCTTAGGGGCTCCTCAACAATTTCAGGCTAATCTAAGAAAGAGACACCTGACGGAGGCAAGAGGTTGCTAATTTTACCTCTTATTTTTAAGATTTTTTCATTAAGCTTCATTTCAGAAGCTCAAGAAGTCGTCGCTGCTGAGGGCTAATGGGATACCTGGTTCAGCAGTGCTCTGATGGTCCGTCATCCTGGCTACAGTGCTGAAGAGATATCTGGGGTTATTCTTATTTTCTTCAATAAGAGAGGAGTAGTAAGTTGTCTGAGCACATCGTAAGGCCTTCTTATATTTATCAAGACATTCCTACCAGAGAAAACGAGCTTCAGCTGTTTTGGAAGAGCGCCAAATCCTTTCTCGTCTTCTTAATAACTGTTTCAGCTCAAGGGTTTCAGCATTATACCACGGAAACTTAAAGACCTTGTGTACAGTAGACCACATTTTATCTTACTACTACTCCGTTCAGCTATGTAAGCAGTTTTAATTCTAGTAAGGTTCTTGTTATTTACTCCTTTGTTAATCGATCGGTTAGAATTAAAGAGCCGAGAATGAGGGACAGACACAGTCTCTATACTAAAGTGACAGTAGCTAGGAGGCTGCTCTAACAAAAGTGCCGAGGAACGTGTAGAACTGCGGCTATCTTCCCTGATCTCTATATCAAACTGATTGTAGCTAGGAAGCTGCTCTGAAGGGAGTACAGAGGGGCGTGTAGGACTGCGGCTCTGCTCCCTGATCTCAGTATCAAACTGATTGTAGCTAGGAGGCTGTTCTGAAGGGAGTACAGAGGGGCGTTTAAGACTGCGGCTCTGCTCCCTTGCGATTCATTAACAAGAGGAATGAGGAGCTCAATCTGGTGTGATCTGAGGGTTGATGACTTTGACTGTCATTGATGTCACCTCTGAAAATAGGAAATGTCTGCACTGTAAGAGGGAGGGCCGTCTGATTAGAGCCTGTCCATTTAGAGGTGAAGCTGACTTCTTTCTTTTTCTTTCCTCTCTTTCTTTTTTTGATACCCTGATTTTTGCTTTTTGGGCAGCAAGATGTCTAACCACCAGGTCATTCAGTCTGGACTCACTGACATTACACTTGTCGCTGGTCCAATATGTCCAATATGTTGGAGGGACTGTGACATAAAGTTCAGTCTCTCAGTTGATGTAATCAACATATTTGAAATAAATTATGACATCAATTGATTGGAGGGGCCAATTCATTCGAAATAAAACATCTGAAATAAATAAATAAATAAAAAAAAATCTGTTTTTTCATGGGCCCCTCTCCCTTAACGGGCCCTTGGTAGTCAGGTTCACTTTTCCCCCCAACTACCACGTTCATGGCAGCAGCTGTCTCTTTGTATGTTTTTGTTCTTAAAAAAAAATAAAAATAAAAAAATAAATGTTTAATGGCTGCCAATTCAACTGAGTAGTGTTCTTAATTATTATCGTTTTTTTTTTTTTTTTTTTTTTTTAAAATTATTTACTTGATTTTTTTAAGGCAACAAGTTTCCATATTTTTTTTTTATTTTTTTTTTTTTAGTAAACTCAACTCATTCAGTTGTACAGTGTATGAATTGTCTGGAAAGATCTTCGTTACCAGCAAAATAATTTCACCATTTCGCATCATGTTTCTCTCATTTCTTCTTGAAGCGTGTAGAAAAGGGTCATTTACTCTGAAAGATACCATGTAAACAGAAATGTCAGCAGTTATTTTCAATTATATATTTCGTGGAAACTTTTTAAGTGAGGCCAAAAGAATCTTCATGAGGTGTGCATCATGTTTCCTCACTCTATCATAAACAGAATGTCTGCTGTAAAATGAGTTGGATTTAGTTGAGAGAGAAACTGTTTTTTTTTATGTCACTGTTTCTACTTCCTCCCAGAAAATCTGAACATGCTCATCCATCAGTGTGTACAGTACATTCCCTTCAAAAGCTGAGTGATTGCAGATTTTTTAAACAAAACCAATCATGTTTGCAGGTGTTTGGCAGTATCATCAACCTGATTTTATGATTAGAGCTAAAAAATCAAAACTGTGAGATGTGTGCCATTGGGATTTTCTGACAGCCTCCTGGCAAAAGCTGTTGGGTGAGTGTGATGTCCTCGACAGTAGTCTTCCTGCATCGCGGCCCTTACACACTGGGACTGACGCAAATATACGACGTGAAATTCCGAATTATTCGGAGGCGAAATTTGACGCGCCTTTCTATACACATCAAGCCTGATGTGATTTTACGACTTTCCGGGAGGAAAAAGACGCGTCCTGGGTGGAAGTGAGAAGACTGACACAACAGCAGACTGCCTGTTTTTCAGTTCTGATTAGACACTAGTGTTGAGATGTCTGTCTGTCATGATAGCATGTACTGAGTCGGGGCCAGTACCAGATAAGAACATTAAACTATAATCCATAAACGTAAGGTAACAACTGAGACCTAATGGTGCTGTGACAGCAACACTGTGATTGAGTTTGAGACAGAGAAAATACATATGGTATGTTGTATCTGAACAGGTTAGCTTACAAGCTAAAGTTACTTAGCACAGATTAAGGTTAAAACAAAGATGTTTAGCAAACTGTTAAAGCACACAAAACATCGCCATATGAGAAATACGAGGCTATGACTCTCCACAAGTTGTCCTTCAGGTCGTTATCTTTGTAATATTTGTGTTTTTTATCAAAAAGCACTCTGCTCTCTGACAGGTAAACAATCAGCCGGTCGGCCATGTTGGATATACCAGTAAATCAGATGTCGCAACAACACACAATCTGATTGGTCAGAAGTGGACAAACAGAATGTCAAACTTGAGAAAAATTGACCTTGATCTGAAAAAATAAATGCCACCATATCGCAGGACAGGAAAACGTCGCTGATGTGAACGCTTGTATTGACAGGATACAGGTTCGAAAAAAATACTGAAATCCGAAATAATCGCACAAAAAGAAAAACAGGTGTGAAACAGTGTTCTTTTCATTGACAACGACGTTGATGAAAATATTTCATCAACATCATCATCAACAAAAACAACACTGTATAATATATGTTTAGCATTTGACTCACGAAATGCGCATGAATTTTACAACTCTGTTCGTCGTCCACCACTAACGTTTTCTTCTAGTCTCGTCAACGTAAACGCACATTGGTCTCGTCACATTTTAGTCATCTAAGACTTATGTTTAGCTCATCAACGTCACGTCTTCGTCATGGAAAAAAAAACAGGTGTTGACGAAATATTTTCATCAACGAAAACAACACTGGTGTGAAAGGACCTTTAAAATGAAGGATTTAGAAGGATTCTACGCTGTGTACAATTCTTGCTCTCTGTCAAAACTGAAAATGTGAAAATGAAATGAATTTTCATGTTTTTATTTATTTTTAACTTTTTCCCTTTTTAAAAAAAAAATAATTTCTTTAACAATGAAAGTCATATACAATCTCCTTACAATAAATACAACAACACGGACCGTTGATAAAATGAATTATTCAAGTGTTACATGATCTTCTGAAACTTAATCCCAACCAAGTTGCAGGATTTTGCAGGACTCATAATTATAAATCTAAAATTGATGCATTCCATGATGTTTTTTTTCTTACAATTAGCTGATGCACATTCCGGCTCCTCTCTGCAGAGACAAAGGAAAGATTTCAAATAGAACGAGTTTTAGGTATTGAAAATGAGTGTGAAAGGGTTAAATTTAGGAAAAGTGATGACCTGCAATGTCAACTGCAGGTTTAAACACCAGTCATTTTGAAGCGAACACAGAGAACACTGTGTTCAATGGTCATAATAATACTCTGCTATGATTCATCTTTACACTAGCACCACTGGAGGTGTATGTTTCTTATTTTAGTCTCAATGACAGAACAGCACTTACCTCAATGTGCACTTAAGTCTGGGCAAAAAAAGAAAAAGAACATACAAAAAAAAAAAAAAAAGACAATTTTACAAAAGAAATCTAAGTTACTCACAGAAAACATTTCAGTTAATTCCTCTCAAGTTTGTCACTAATTAAATCTAGTCTTCATGCAGGGCGATGTAGCTTAACAAATTTCCTAAGCCAGCAGATTTCTGGTTTTGAAATCTCAGAATTCTCACAAAGTTTTTTTTTAAATTTATTTATTCTTTTTTTTTATTAAGTGATTCAAAACAGAACATGACAAGTGAAGGACAACAAACTAAGAAACAGATGGGTGAGACAAGACAAGATAGACACAAGCAGGTATTGGTGGTATTTCACAGTTTGAAGGTGTTGAACTCGTGTGTGTGTGTGTGTGTGTGTGTGTGTGTGTGTGTGTGTGTGTGTGTGTGTGTGTGTGTGTGTGTATGAGTGCATTAATTACTTATTGTATTACTTATTTCATCAATGACGTGACGCCTCAATATTCTGTCCGGCTGTATTTTCTTTATGTTACAAAGAGTTTTAAATGTAAAAAAATATACTATCTATTTGTAGTATCTCTCTAATATATGGAGCCCCTTCAACTTTTCAAAAATCAGGAGTTTTTTGTAATTTTTTTTTAACTTCAAAGGGTCAAAATATCATGTGGTGCGACCGTCCGGCCATGACTTCTGTTTTGAAAACTTCTTTGAAATTACTCTAAATCTATTACAATTTAGTTTCTGCAATATTCGGCATAATTTTGAAAGTGTTTTTTATTCCTGTACAAAATTGCAAAGCTTTTGCAGTTACAATTTTTTCATAATATTCAAACGAATTTTGTCCGATTGTGTCCATTTCATTAAATATCATGTGGTGCGACCATCAAAAAATGACAATTTTTGACACTTTTATGCTGAAATCTACTCAAGGAAAGGATGTTGGATCATTCACCATTTTGTCGTAGAGCTATGGAAGCAGAAAGAGGGTTGGTGGTTCTCTCATTTCTTTAAAAAAAAGAGACCTTTTCAACTGCTGTAATGGTGTTTGCACTTTTCGATGTCATGTGGTATGACCTCAAAAAAAACAATTAATTTAAGTTATTTCCACAAATAAGTATTTTAATTATAAATTTTATAGTGACCTTTTGTAGGAAGCTAGTGAGGTTTGTTTATGTGACTAATCCTGTATCAGTAAGATTTGACTAAATTTGAAATGTCATGCGGTGCGACCAATTATCATGTGGTGCGACCACTGCAGATTGTTTTTTATCATAAATATATGCCCTCGATTGGCAGTATTTACGCTTTTATATTCAATTGATGATTGATAAACACTAAGTACTTAACTTTTAGTATTATTTTGAATTTTTTTTGTTATTTGATGAGTCATTTTGCTAACATTTCTGAAATAATAGTTAGGTCATCTCTGTACAAAATAAGAAAAAAAATATTAAAAGCATGCCATTTCACTTAAGGTATTTATGCCATTGTTAGCAATTTATTAACTTTCATGTATCAATTTAAGTCATTTTAATTTATTTTACCAGATGCCACTGGCGAGCAAAGTTAAAAGCGCTCGCCATAGGCAGCGTGTCAACTCTGACCCTGCAGCATGTTGTTCATGCCGGGGCTGGTCAAAGATTGGGCCAAGATTGTTGACATCGCTGCATGGATGGTGAGAGGAGCGCTTCGCCGAGAGCGTTATATTCATGATCGTTCAGATCCGTTTGATTTACCTGATGACGTTCTCTATGAACGTCACAGGTTTTCCTCGGACGGCCTCAATAGTCAGGTAACATGAAGTCGAAGCGATACACTAATATTAGCCAAGCTCCAAGTTCAAGTTTCATGCGCCATATCATATCACCAAATGTGTCTGCAGATGACATGTGACCATCAGATGATGGAGAAAAAAGAAAAAAAAGCAGTGTGAGGAAATCACTGTTTACGCGTTGAAATATGTACAAATAAAATCTTCCAGTAAACCAGCTAACCACTTTGACGGATGTTTTTAGATTTATTTTTATTTGCTCCCACCTACTCTTTTCCCTACTGCTGTTGTATCTGAAATAATGAGGTCAATGATGGAGGTTATCACACACGCTGCATGACAACATATTAGGGGGCCATAAATTTATCAACGCACAAATGAAATTTACACGATCTATTATTTTTTTTGCCAGCAGTCCCTCCGGCTTTTAGCGACTTTGGCTGTCCTGCTCCTCAATGTTATAATGTTGCAGTACTCCGCGTATTAGCGTACAATAATGCTCTGTTCCTCGGCTGTGAAATATGACGTGCAGCCTTCTTCATTGTGGAGATTGGTCCGGTGGCACTGATCCCGCCCCCTTTACGTGTGCGCGCACAGATCTAGACTGGCCACAACTGAATTTAGTTAGCTAGTTGATATCCTGCCTCGTAGTACAGCTGATCGGGATTACAGAGATCTGGTGAAGTTGAGCGAGATGTGGCAGAGTTATCCTGGGTGTGTTAATCCAGCTTCGTAGTACAGGCCTCTGGACCACACACACAAACACACACAGAGTTAAATTTTTGTAAAAAAGGGAAATAAAATGTTCGCGTTCATGTTTGAAATTTTAATAAAATTTGGTTTTAATATAAAATTTGCATGAAATTAATTGTTCATAGGTCTCTTTAAATTGATTTTTAATGATACAAGGTCTTCAGGTCATTTGGCGCGACCACCAATCATGTGGTGCGACCAATAATAACATTAATTATATCAAATACAAACTAAAATATCTCATTTCTGTAACCGAGACATTAATACCTGATACAATATGCTTACATGAAAGGTAGTTTCAAAACATTTTTATCAGTATTATGCAATTTAAAGAAAAAAATAGTCAGTGAACTACATTTGATATAGCGACTGTGACATTATCGAGCTAATATATGAGATCATTATTGACAAAAACTCAAATAAAATGCAAACGCTTTGTTCCTATGTACTTGATATTACTGACAATTTGTAAAAAACTATTATGTATGTTGAAAAAATGTAATAATTTTGAGATAAATGATGGTCGCACCACATGACATTTTTTAAGGCCACAGGCAATTCATCTATATGAAAAAACACTAAAATTGCCTAATTTAAAAATTTAACTTTAGTTTTTGTATACATAACATCCTTAGTGTTTGAACTGTTGCAAAAGATATTCTTATTTTTGGTATTTTAAAATTGGCATGTTGAAAAACCTAATACGTCATTGACCCATGAATTGTTTGGAAATAATAACACTAACTAATAAAAGTAAAAAGAATAATGCAACAGAACAAAGGGACAAAGGAAAAAAAATAAATAAATGAAATTAAGAAGAAAAAAAAAAAATATATATATATATATATATATATATATAAATAATTAATTATATACATATATATATTCTATATATAAATATACATATATATATATATATATATATATATATATATATAAAAAAATAAATATAATAATAAAAAATAAATAAATGAAATTAAGAAGAAAAAAAAAATATATATATATATATATATATATACATATAAAATAAATATAATAATAAAAAATAAATAAATGAAATTAAGAAGAAAAATATATATATATATATACATATATATACATATATATATATATATATATATATATATATATACAGTACAGGCCAAAAGTTTGGACACACCTTCTCATTCAATGCATTTTCTTTGTTTTCATTACTATTTAAATTGTAGATTCTCAAAACTTTGAATGAACACATGTAGAATCATGTGCTTAAGAAAAAAGTGTGAAATAACTGAAAACATGTATTATATTTTAGATTTCTCAAAGTAGCCACTCTTTGCTTTTTTGATAGCGCTGCAAACTTTAGCTGTTCTCTCAATGAGCTTCATGAGGTAGTCACCTGAAATGGTTTTTACTTCACAGGAGTGCCTGAAGTAACCCTGACAAGGTACTTCTGTCATCAAGAGCAAAAGGTGGCTATTTTAAAGAAACTAGAATATAAAACATGTTTTCGGTTATTTCACACTTTTTTTATGAGTACAAAATTCTACATGTGTTCATTCATAGTTTTGATGCCTTCAGTGATAATCCACAATGTAAATAGTCATATAAAAAAATAAAGAGAAGACATTGAATGAGAAGGTGTGTCCAAACTTTTGGCCTGTACTATATATATTTATATATACTGTATATGCAAATACATAAATATGTTTATAGATAAAGATATTAGTTCATTCATTTTTCATTTTTAAAATTTCCCTCTTTTTTTCTTCCTTCCTCCATCTTATTATTGCCAATGCCTCTGGCCAACTCTTTAACTTTTTTTAAAGTTAAAAAGTTAGTTTTTCTAAAGCTGTGGCTTCAACTTCAGCTCCTTTCCAAACTTTGATACAAATATCTGTCTGTAAAAGGTGAGTCCCATTTTTATTTGTCCTGGTAAAGTCAGAAAACTGACCTCTTTCTTCAGCAAACTAGTTTTTATGTCTCTTCCCTTCACATTTTCATGTCTTTGTTGCCTCAGAGAAAACTAGGTTTTATTCGTAAAGACTCTGATAACTTCACTTGCTGTCAGGGGCCCACTTAGCTAAAGCTACAGCATTCTTTTTTCTGCAACCCATGAAAGTTTGAAAATGGAAATATGTTGCTCTAATCTTTTATTTTCCCAAAGAAATGAGCTTGTTAGATGTATAATGCAGTCAAAGATTAATAATGCCAAACTCCCTGAAGCAATACAGAAACATAAGGAACAATGCAAGTAACCTGAGGAGATAAAGACGTATCATAACATGTTAGAGTGAGGGCTCTCCTAAGTTCTCTTCTGGGTCTGGACCCTCATGGTTTTTGTCATTCTCATTATTAGTGGTCCACGTTTTGCATCTTTAAGCAGATTAAAGTCTAAAGAAGTCATTGTGAGCCGTTGCTTAAACGTACAGATACTTCTTCAGCAGCTTACAGCACTTTTATCCCCTCTCCTCCCTCACAGTAAAGTGAGTCTCTGGCAAGGAAGAGGATTAAAACGAAGAAGTCATGATGTGCTCTAAGCTCGGACCGTCTTCATACTGCATCGGCAAAATGACTCACCGCTTAATTTCCTGCGTCTGACCAGCCAAAGGACCAGAATCAATCTCTATGCAAAGTTTCCTCGTCTTCGTCGCAAAAATGACAGCCATTATGCAGATTTACATTTTATCTCCTGCTAAAATAATGACCATAAATCATCAGGGGTGTCGCTGCTGTCGATAATTACAGGGAGGACGGCCGAAGAGGAGTTTGTCTTTGGACAGTGAGGAGGAGGAGGAGGTGACAGTGAGAAATGAGTCTGCTTCAGAAACACAGCTGACAAACAGACCGTGCATCATAAGGAAGTGATTTCAGCTGCACTAATGTTTCCTCTTTGTGGACGTCCAGCTGAAACACCACATTTGAATCTTTCCCAGAGTGCTGACAGTTAAAAAAGGTTTTTACACATTGTGGGGTTGAAAATTTTTTTAAAAAGAGTTGGGAATTGCTCTATTAGATATTTGCATCCTGCAGCTGCAAAACGCCCAGATAGCACACGTACATCGTGCCAACGTCTGCCTAGTACATCTAGTTTCATCGCTAAGATGTCGCAAGGCGAGCGTTGCCTAATTGCCACAACATCGCAAGGACGTCAGCTTTTGATCTAAAATGATCAAATGAGGAATTGACACACAATGTTTGGACGATTAATCAAAGTTGTAGTGCACAACCTTTATTTATAGGTCGAAGCTGTACTGTAAATATACTATGCAATACAAATAAAACAATGCCGACCTAATACTGACTGCTAATAGCTACCTGCTTTTGTGTGTGTGTGTGTGTTAATAATGAAGATCCATAAAGGTCCTTTCACACCGGGACTGTTTTTTTCGTGCAATTATTTTGGACGCCAATTTTTTTTTCGAACCTGTATCCTGTCAGTACAAGCGTTCACATCAGCGTTGTTTTCCCATCTTGCAATATTGCGGCATTTATTTTTCCGGATCGCGGTCAATTTTTCTAAAGTTTTGCATTCTGTGTGTCCACTTCTGACCAATCAGATTTCGCGTTCTTGCGACGTCAGATTCACCGGTATATCCAACATGGCCGACCGGTTGATTGTTTGTGTGTCAGAGAACAGAGTGCTTTTATAGCGTTGGATTTCTCATATGACGATGGTTTGTGTGCTTTAACAGTTTGCTAAACATCTTTGTTTTAACTTTCATCTGTGTTCAGTAACTTTAGCTCGTATGCTAACCTGTTCAGATACAACATACCATATGTATTTTCACTGTCTCAAACTCAATGGTGTTGCTGTCACAGCACCGTTAGGTCTCGGTTGTTACCTTACGTTATGGATTATAGTTTAATGTGCTTATCTGGTACTGGCCCTGACTCAGTACATGCTATCATGACAGACAGTCATCTCAACACTAGTGTCTAATCAGAACTGCGTCGGTCCCGTTGTGTAAGGACCGTAAGTCTAGCCAAAACACTTTATTGTCTGGACTCAGCACAGACGCAAGAAACGAACACCTGGGAAACAGCGCATATGAACTAAATAAAAGTAAATCTCACTTCACTTCGTACCATCAATAGTTTAAACTCTTTGGCTTGTTCTAATGACCGGATCCATTTGACTGAGTGGAAGAGATCTGTGCTGATCAGATCGGCTACCACCAAATCTGGTGCTGAACAATGCACTACTACGCTAAGAGCTAACGGAGCTAACAGGAGCACCAGGGCAAGCAGTCTGGTACTTTAGTACTTTCCTGTAGCTACCGGGTTGGTTTGCGTCGGAGAGGAGACTGGGCATTGTTACGAACCTGGCTCAGGGGAAGCAACATAAGGGATCTGAAACAACTCAAAGTTTTCGCCAAAGCATTTATTCACAAGATCTCAAAATAACAATGGAAGGTATGGGAGCTGGGACAACATGTCTGGTCTGGCTGCAGGCTGAGAGAGAGTGTGGAAGAGTCTCCCTTGGCTTTTATGGACTGCCCACAGGTGCAGGTGATCAGCTCAATTATCTGGTGGAGCCAGCATATGGAGGCCAGCAAGTGCCACAAAGGAGTCCTCAGGAGTGCCTCAAAGAAAACACATATTAGTGTGGCATATTCTATAGATGCACATGTAACAGGCATAACCAGTTGTTAGCAACTTTAGTAACCGTCACAGAATTGCCTCAAAAGTTATTTTCCGCCAATTTATGTCAGTAGCTTACCTGAAAAACAATGGTAGGGAGTTGACGTATTTTCCTCTGCGTTTCATGGCATGTAACGGCGATTGCCATTGGGTGACTGTCCAAACTGAAAGGCGGGGTCGGCCAGCCGACGCAAAAACAACCTTGCTGAGATGTCTGATACACTAGGACATTAGACCACTTAATCCACTATTGGGCCGATGTTTGTCAGATGTTATAGACAATATCAGCACAACATATGTGTGCTATCTGGGCAGGCTGCAATAGCTGCAACATAATCCGGAATGTGTCCCCTGGAAGTTCTTGTTGTTGTTGTCGTCAGAGTCTCACGGCATTACAGGAAGCATCCCTACACAGAGAGAGCGTTTTGTTACAGAAGATGAGGATTTTATTTAACCAGAAACGGCTACTGCATTAATCATTTTACACCCAGTAACCAATGACGACAGCAGCAGACCAGTGACTCTCAAATTCTGCAATTAGACCACACTATGGTAAACAGTACCTTGCCAGAATCAATGCAGAATCAAGTCTCATCATACTGATAAAGTTAAGGTTTTGCAGTTTGCCTTCTTCATTTATGTACAGTGTGTGGAGAAGCGTGTATACAGGACAAAGTAGAGGACGACTATCAAAAGAATCCCCACAGAGAGGTTCCTGATTCAGAAATCTAAAGTGGTCATAAGAAGAATTCTGCAGAAATAAAGACATCTCCTTTCATGTCTGTGAATCAGAGTTTACACTCAAAGGAGTGTTTACACCTCTTTGTGCTGTGGAGGAGTAAAATGATTTACATTCAAAAGCGTCAGCCTGTGATTTGAGTCTCCCTCTAGTCTCCTCTCTGTAGGAGTGAGATGACCTCAAACTCTTGTCTTTAAGACCATCAAATAAAAAACACAAAGACAAACTCCCGAGTGAGCTCGTTGTTTGAAGGGAGTGAAAATAGGATGCATTACCATAAACATGCAGTTATTGTTCTGCCTCCTGACAGGAAGACATGGAGAATAAGAGTGAACATACATTCAGAGATATGTTATCTATCACGCTTCTATCAGATGAAACATAAGAGTGAGCTTCGGAGCAAAAACCATCTTTCCTCTTGACTGTCAGCTTTGCTGCATGTTTCCACAGACATGATCATGATTCTATGTTTCAAACTGCATTCCTTTAAAACATCAAGCATGTTTATATGTGACTTTTATCGCTCATTTCTTTTGCTTCATTAGTGTTTCACATCTTTGAAACTGCAGCTCGTTATTAAAGGATGTTTGGTATCATGACTGTGAGAATCTGGCAAATGTCAGTTTTCAAACAGCAGCTTTCCAGGAGCTTTAGATAGAGGATATGCATGATATTCTGAGGATATGATAAAAGATATAGAAAAGTTAAATATGATGTGCTAAATTAGTTGTATTTGAAAATGTTCAGAAAGGACATTTTGTTTACATGCTCTTCTTGACAAAATCTATAATGAAACGCTAGAAAAAGTGATAGGATGATTAAGGACTTGAGATGTATTTACAGACTTCCAGGAAATGCAGGTACTGTATATCTGCACAAAATTCTTCAAATATCTTCAAACTTTCCTCAAAATGAAAAACATATCAAAAAACAAAAAATGGCAAAAGTTTGACTAATTTGTTTTCAATTATGTTTCTTCTTTCAAGGAGCAAAATAAGGGGATGCACAGTGGGGATTTTTCTGGTCAACACATGTTGCAGCTGCACCTCCTCTTATGCTTTACCATCTCATAATGGACCATACCACCCACTGTTCAAATGTAGGGTTGTTTAGAAGTAAATGATAACAGTTTTTATTAGATATATTGCAGCCATTGAAATAAAATCTTGATATTAGTGCACGTGTTCCAACACATTCCTCCAACAATCAGAGAGCAGCATGCTTAATTTGTACTTTACCTGTCAGACTGCATCTGGACACTATGAGCCCAAGTCAAAATCCCCAAATTCATTCTTTAACTACTGAAAGTGTTCTCAGTGGTCTTTAAATTGTGATTCTGAAGTTTTTAGCCAAAATCACATTACCTGTGTCATTTCAAAGATGTTCTTCTGCAGAGCTCCAGTAGCTCATTAGCAATTTGCCTCTGAGTCTTGGGCGGAGACAGCGCTGCTCTGCACACTCCTCTTCATGCTAGCTTGCAGCCTAGCATTGCCGGTGTAGTAGCAGAAGCAGGTAACATAGGAGCTATTCAGCTCTTGGACACGAATGTCTTTGGGGACATGATGTAAGCTAATATCGTAATTAGCTTTCTTAAGAGCATTGCAATCCACTAATGCGCACGCTTGTTCCGCGATCGACCTCTGTATTTCTCGAAGTCTAGCCTGCATAGTGGGGCTCTAGGGGTGGTGCTTGCAGGTGTGATGTAGGAAATCTCACTGGCCCTCATTTATCAAGCTTGCGTACAGCAGAAAACTTGCGTACACCTTGCGTATGAAAATTTTGACGCAAGGATCGGCATTTATCAATCTACAAGTGAGCGTACGCTACGACCAAATCTCAAGACAGGTCTGACATCGTGTACGCAAGTTTGAGTCAGTGTGGATCTGCGGTGCAGCAAATACCTGTCTCGAAATAATTGATAAACAAACCTCAAACCTGTCATTAAGCACAATCAGACAGATTTCGTTAAAGATAAAGTGAGGACCCGATGCCCGGAGAACAATAACGAGGAGAGACTCCACAAAGGTGCTGTACAGAGGAGACAGGACCTTATCGATGGATTCTGACTTGTAAAATATAAGTTTAGAAAGTGCTCTTGCTATTTTATCAGTGATAAAAATCCAATAGAAATCTATAAAAATGTGCCTCAGAGGTAGCAACACACCGTTTGGTGAGGTTAATATTTTTTTTTTTTCAGCCTCTGTCAGACTCTCCAGTCTGCTCTACATTACAAAGACGCAACAAATTAAAACTAAATACTTTCAATAATAAGAGCAACATACCCTGTCATGGCAATAAAAACTATGAGGCATGTATGAGATGTTAATTTATCATCATGAGCTACTTATTGACTAATGATTTATTCAAACTTCAGCCACTGTCCGCTATTCCGCGGCAGCACTGTTCACCACCACCATAATCCTGCTCCAGACAGGAGTTTTCTGGACTGCTTTTAGACCAGTTTTGATGCTTCCAAAGAGAAAATCCTGATTAGTTTCCACCACAAATGTGAGGATATCCATTTTCAGCTCGGAAAAGTTTCAATCTTTCTAATATTTTTACTGTTTCATGTTTGACCTCAGTGGGCGAGGCTTCTGAACCACGGACACCAGTGAAGACGTGTGTCCTATCGTACGATGAATCCTGCGCTCAGATCTGCGCAAGATTGATAAATGAGGGCCACTGTATCTGAACCAGCTGTTTGGATCTGCCGGAAATTCACAGCGATTTGAATGAGGAAACACTAGTGAATTTGATTTTACACTTATTTTTTTCATGATATGTCATCAAGCATCAGATGCCTTATGGACATGAAAACAACAAAAAAAAACAGGATTTTCATCAGAGTGGGTCTTTAAGCTCTTACTCAAAGCCAGGAGACCACAGATGGATCTTACTAAAGAAATTCAATGAAAGAAAGATGTGTCAAGGATGCAAATGTTGAAACTGAATTTTATGTTCATATCACAAAAATACCAGTGTAGAACCATGCATTTAAAATCTTAACGCAGGTCCACAGATGTTAATAACATTACACTTGATTTTATGAGGGGGCCACAGATACAGCGCTTTAATCTTCATCTGCAAGTATATGCAGTTATTTATAACAACTGAGACAATACTAATTAAGACAATTTCATTATTGTCTCATACTTTGTCTGCTTTGTTATAAGTGTGTTTATGGTTTCAAATTAGCATTAAAGTCTTAACTTGTTCTTATTTGTCATCTGTTGTAATTGTTTTTTTGACTTTCTTTATTAACCCTGTTTGTTTGCAAATTGCTTTTTATAACTACCGCCGTTAACAGCTTTGTTTTTAATTTTTAATATAATTACTATTCTAACAGTTAAGCTCTTTGTAACTTGTTTTGTTTTTTGAAAAGTACAACATAAATAAAGTTATAATTGCTGTTGATGGGGCAGGATAATCTGCTCATTAGAGACAAAGACAATGGGAAAATCTGCTATATGAATATGAGGTATAATAAAAGCATCAATAAGGTGAAATCTAACAAAACAAGATCTGTTTAAATGTCAGCACAATCAGCAGCATTTGGTCTACAGCGACATTATCTTTTTAATCTGTTGCACAATGAAAATAGAGGTTGGCAAGTTTGTTTTAAAAAATTCTGCACACTTGGTTACTAAATGCATCTTCGTACACTTCGAGCAAATGTTTCATACACACGGCAAAATGTCGCAAGAGTGTGTAGGTGTGGCGTAATGAAACAGAGCTTTTGATTTTTGATACGATTTGTTAAACCTTAAAGACCTAGTCCGATGAAAATTGTGCTTTTCTTGTTGTCTACATGTTCATATGCCATTTTTCTGATGCTAGAGGACATATCATGAGAAAAACTTCTCAGTATTGCTGCATTCAAATCGCTGTGAATCTCTGGCTGACCCAATGGCAGCTTCAGACTGAGTGAACGTTTGTACGCCATAACTTCAAGCTCCGCCCCTAGCACCCAGCTTTGCAGACCAGACTCCAAGAAGTAGAGAAGAGAACTGCGGAACAAGCGTGTGCATTAGCGGACTGCAATGCTTGTAAGAAAGCCAATTGTGATGATAGCTTACATCATGACCCTTAAGGCATAAAGGCTCTATTTTCATGCCTTGCTGGAGACGTGCCGCAGGCGCGGCATAAGTCACGTCCGCCACACCAACAAGGCGTTCCCAAGCACAATTTGGTATTTTGGTGAGCGGCGTAGCCCGGCTTAAGTTTCCCCCCTCCTTAACTCAGCTCCTCCCAGTGGCGTAAGTCGTAGCAAGGGAGGAGAGAGGGCGTGGAGTGGGTTTTACACAGCCGAGACCAGTTTTCACCAATCACATAAGCTCCTCTTCTCGCCTTTAAATTTGCCACCGGCGAGGCGTATTACTATTTCGTGAAGTAGTCAAAGAAATCAAGAGATGTCTGAAGACAATAATGCCACACGATGGCGACAGAAGGCAGCTCCTCAACAAGTGTCGCTGTAAGCGCTGCAGAGGGCGTCCTCCACACTCTCTTATATGAGCACAGATGGATTTGGTGTGTGTAATGTTGGACCCACTGGTAAGACAAACACCCTTTTCCACAAATAAAGACACTCACATAAAGTTGCATATATATAAACCTCACGTGACAAAGGTGGGTTGTGCTCACAGATCACAACATAAATTCCAATAATGGCATTAAAATCAGAACCATCTGTGCATAGATGACGCATTGCGCTCCGTGGCCTGGCTCTTTCTTTCATAGATGTTGGCATATGAAATAAATTTGACTCACAAAACTGAACATTATAATATTCGTATGTAGGCTTAAAGCAAATAACTCATCTGATCACTGAAACAAATCATCTGTTCAGTCGTCGCAGCAGCAGCTGCAGCAGGACGGGGAGAGGACACAGAGACATGTCCAGGTCGAGCTGCACAAGAAATAAGATGAAGAGGAAGAAAGAAAAGAAGGGAGACAAATTACATATCTTGTTCACTTCATCATGTGTGTCTATTTACTAGATATTTAATTTAATTTAATGCGGTTTCAGCTGTGTTGATTCGGTCAGGTTGAATGTCCAAACGCGCTCATCAGATCAGATATAGATCAGAATATATCTATATAGATCTAAATGTATATGTACTGACTCAGATTATTAGTTGTTGTTGATTATTTACCATTGCGCGGGGTCCGCCACCCTCTGCCGCGTCGCCAGCGGACACGAAAATAGAGCCCTCTGTGTTATTCAGAGTTCAGTATCAGGATTAGTATTTTAATTTGTGGGTTTTAACTGAACCTATTCCCAATTCTATCATTGTTAAAATAAAAGTGTTTCTTTCTAGTCTTCTTGTATTGGTTAACCAGGTCTTTGGAGGGGAAGTGTTGCCGGATCTGACCTCTCTTTCAGACTTTTTTGCGATTTTGATACTCATGTACTTCTGCCTTGTGTGTTTTAATTGAAAACATCCTTCACATCGATCTGTCATCATCCGCTCTGATTTACTCTCGTCCTCCATGCTGCAGATCTGATTCAGTTTAGAGGAAGAACTTCTCTTTATGAGCTGCTCTACACTTACTGCATTAAGTACATTTATTCAAGCGCTGTCCTCCAGCTGCTCTCTTCAGCAGCCTGTCTGCTTACTTAGAACCATGAGCGTCATTTAATGTACCTCCGCAGCACTCGAGTGCTCTATTCTCATATCTACAGAGGCTATCAGAAGAGAAGGTGAATGCGGTCAGTGGATATAAAGCTGCTAAAAGAAACTGATATTGACCCTTAGCTCTTCACTGCGACCTTCTCTGGGTAATGCATTCAGAATAAAACCTCTTAATGACTTCAGGAACAAAGTAGGTTCTGCAACAAGCTCGCATGCCAGAGTGTAGATATGTACAGAGATGTAAGAGTGTACTTCTCTGAATTTTAAAATAACCAAAATATGATGTCGAGTTTTTGGTTCAGTGTTCGAATAGTTTCATCACCAAGCAATGATTTTGGACCAAAATCTGGATCTGGATCACACCCATCTGCTGTTCCTGCAGAAAATGAACTACTTAAAGCATCTCAGTATGAGCCATTAGCAAAATTAACCACTTGTTGATGACTATAGTAAATCCACAGGTCATTAAATGCAAAACAACTTTATTCTGGAGCCTCTCCAAATGCTGCGTATTCACTATCACCAACTTAACACACAGATAGACACTTTAAAGACTTTTTAAGACCTTTCTTTGGAGTCAACGAACATCTCAAATCCAATAATTTGTATTTAAGGCCTTAAAATGTCTAAAATTCTCTTAAAATCTCATAAAATGTGTTTAGTACAAATTTGAAAGGTCTTAAAATGTATTGATGTTACTTACAGATAAAGATTGATTTGAAGTCAGTTTAAAATGTTCCAATTTCACTCATGTCTTCTGTTCTTTTTTGCCAGTATGGATGTAAAATGGATCTTAAATTGTACTCATTAAGGTCTTTAAAAGTGGAAGTGTCAGTTTTTGGGAGAAATCTTGAATGTAAACACTACCCCTCCAAACCAGTTTTCCCCTCAGCTCCTCCTCTCCCCTCCATCTCTGCTCCAGCAAGCCCCGCCCACAAATAGACGATCCTGCTCGCTTGTATCGTTTCAATTAAATTCAGATATAATGCAGATAAATACTTCAGATAATTACAAATGGAGCCCAGTCAACGTGAAAGTATAAAGCATTGCTGCTACTATAGATGCCAACAGACTACCAGCAAACACAATGTTTGCAGGACCTAGTTCTACAACTAGGATAAAGTGACATACTCTACTCACTTAGGAAGAAGAAGGAATTTAATTTAAGCATGCAAAATTAAATAGGCATTATCAACTTCCATTAATATAATACTTAACTCAACTGAAATACCCGGAGGTTAAACATTTAAATCAACATTTATCTACTAAAAAGTTTACACTTGCAGAACACAACTGGGACCTATTCAAAAGTAAAGGGAACCAAACAGATACAGAGCTACCTTGAAGAGAGTTGTGTTATAATGTGTGGAGATAATGCAAATCTGAGCATGACAAAAAGAAACACAAACGAGTGCAACAACCTTATAGGCTGAGTGTAATTTGCCCTTCATTTGCAGACATATTTCTAACTGGACTATTTATGGTGCAAATGCATATGTGAAGGTAGAAGAAAATGTTAATTTGAAATGTAAAGGTAATGATCAAAATGCTGTTTTTGAGTTTGTTTTGAATATTTATCTAAGTGTCTGTTAGAAAAAAACAGACTGGTGTTTAGTATGCTCCACCTCTTTTTTGGAAAAAGTCAAAAAAAAGGTCAATTCTTGCAAAACCATGAAAAACAAATATCCATAAGAGGTCTTGTTTGCTGTCATTTCCAATCAAAGCTAAAATCCTGCACAGGGAGTGACTTTGAGAAAGTGTGCAGCATACAGGAGCATGCTCATGATCTCACTCTTTTACCTGAGGTGCCTTAAGGTGACTTATTCTCCGGAGAGAAGCTGCCAAGGTCAGACCTCCATCCGCTTCCCTCCATTTCTGCAAAATACACACACTCATACGCACGCCTCTGCACTCCCACCTCCCAGGTGAGTGTTAAACTTCGATAACATATCATGAGAAGTGACATAAATCAGCTGGGATTCGTATCTCATCAGGCCTTGGTCTGGATTAACGGGTTCAGTGGGTCGACAGTCTCTGCTTAGAGAGGGGAAATGGGAGGGAGGGTTTTCAAAATAAAACAGAGGTTTGCATGAATTATATCAGGAATGCATGGAAAGAAATGTTCAGAAGAGAGAGGCTGATAAGTGTAACAATGGCAGCAACACTTATTCCTTTTTTTTGTGATAATTTTTTAAATTTTGTTTTATTTCATTACATTTCCATTTATACACACCCCTTGCCATCCTTTGTCTCGGGGGCAACATTGAATTTGGGTAATTACAGGGGTAAAAATTTTAATTTCATAATTATAATAATAATTACATAAATAAAACTGCAGTGTCATCGTTACATGGTTAACATAATCATGAGAAAAATTGAAAAAATGCAAAATAAAGGTAGAAAAAAAACTTTTATTCCTTTATTGATCTCCTCCTGGGAATGAATATTGATAAACAAACAGGTCTTAACAGTGGTTCTTAAACATTTGAGATCAATTTGCAATAGGAGGGAACATTAATTTGCGCATAGCAGTATTTATTTTTTTATGAAAAACACTGAAATAAGTTTGTTATTTTTGAAGCAAACAAACATTTTCTAATACCTGCAGAAGTGAATTTGAAGAACCGGTTTATCTCTACTTCATTATAAAGCTGTTTTCATTTTACCTTTATCATTTAACTGCAGCTCCTGCCATTTGGATTCTGCATTTGGCCACATTGCAATTACCTCCGCCTAATATTTGAGATAACTGTGCAGCCTTATGGCACAGAAACATCCAGGATGTTGGGTTGTAGATGTTCGGATGTGCTTTGCATTCAAATCAGCATATCTGGACTTTAATTTCTTGAGTTTTTTATGTTGATTTATTCTCCATAAGGCTGTTTTTTTTGTTGGCATTAACTCATCCAGAACTCGTAGGTAATAGTGTCCAAGTACAGAGCTTCTTCCAACAGATGGTGAATAGATATTTCTGGGAGTATATTGTAGGAGATAAGGTGACAATTTCCAAAATCATTCATGCTTAAAAAATTTTATTATTATGCATAACTTTAGAGCAGGTTTTGTAAGATGTCAAACTTCATCAGAGCTCTGTAAATGTTGTTAGACTGCAGAATGACATCCAAAATGACAGCTCTGTCGTTATAGAGGATCCTTATCAGCGCAATTTCCAGAAATAGATGGTCAAAGCAGTAATAACAGCAGTGCTAGCATTAATATTTGTCCATCTGAAGCCCATTCAAGCAGACCGCTTCAGTGTTAATCCACCATAATGTGACTCTAAATCATATCAAAGAACCACACAAGCAGCGGAAGAGCTATTTTAACGGCGACAGGCAGAGATGGAGTTAATCATGCTGCAGTCAGAGTCTCTCCATTCAGGGGAACAGGCCGTCTCCTGACCGGCTCTGAGTCCACATCACCTCTCACTCAGCCTGCAGACAGCTTTAACCTCCTGTCACTCAGGGCCGTGTAAGTGACGGGACCTCACCTGAACCTGGTCTGCACAAACGGTGTTTGACAGGCGGGGGAAAAACTGCCTGCTAAAAAAAGTGGAGAGAATCAAAGTTGGAAGAAGGATTGTAATTTTAAAATAGCAGCCAGTTACTTCTGATGCTTCATCGAAATGATCAAACCATTTTTTTTTTCTTTTTATTGGTCATTTTTGAATGCTTATATCTGATCATCAATATTTAATGAACATAAACAGTGATCTCCCTTGCTGTGTCTGTCCCTAAAGATCCTTACACACCTGGAACGACGCAAATATACGACGTGAAATTACAAAATATTCTGAGGCGAATTTTGACGCGCCTGACTATACACGTCAATTGTGATGCGATTTTGCGACTTTCAGGGGAGAAAAAGACACGTCCCTGGTGGAAGCGAGAAGACTGACACAACAGCAGACTGACTGTTTTTCAGTTCTGATTAGACACTAGTGTTGAGATGTCTGTCTGTCATGATAGCTTGTACTGAGTCGGGGCCAGTACCAGATAAGAACATTAAACTATAATCCATAAACTTAAGGTAACAACCGAGACCTAATGGTGCTGTGACAGCAACATGATTGAGTTTGAGACAGTGAAAATACATATGGTATGTTGTATCTGAACAGGTTAGCTTACGAGCTAAAGTTACTTAGCACAGATGAAAGTTAAAACGAAGATTTTAGCAAACTGTTAAAGCACACAAACCATCGTCCGACAAGACGACAAGAAATCCGACAAGTTGTCCTTCCCGTTGTTATCTTCGAAATGTTTGTGTTTTTTATCAAAAAGCACTTTGTTCTCCGACATGTAAACAATCAGCTGGTCGGCCATGTTGGATATACTGGTGAATCTGAAGTCGCAACAACACGCAGTCTGATTGGTCAGAAGTGGACACACAGTATGAGAAATTTGAGAAAATTCAACCGTGATCTGAAAAAATGCTGTAATATCACAGGACGGGAAAACATCGCTGATGTGAACGCTTGTATTGACAAGATACGGGTTCGAAAAAAAATATTAACGTCCAAAATAATCGCACGAAAAAAACTGTCCCGCTGTGTAAGGACCTTAATGATGAACTCTCCCCTCTGCCTCTCTCTGCCTATTTTATTAAATAATGATTCAACTTTTATTGAGTTTTTTATTTTATATTTTTTTATTGTTTACTAGACCAAACTAAAAAAAAAAAACAGTAAAAAAAGAAGAAAAACTCAAGATACAGTCTTATGTACTTATTTTTATTTTAATGTTTTTACTTCTATGTCTTTTTGCACAAGACCAAGAAAGGTAAGAGGGAGATTTTTTTGAATGTCAATTTTAAGATTAAAGTCAAAATTTCGGCATTTAAGTCGAAATTTTAAAAGTCGAAATTTAAAATTTACGATTTTTTAAATCTCAGAATTTCAACATTATTCACGACATTTTGACATTTTTTAAATTCGAAATTTCAACTTTAATCTTGAAATTTCAACTTTAATCTCCTTCCTGTAATTACTTATTTTGCTCTTCATGTGACCCTAATCCTCTTTCGTAGGAATGAATGAGAATAAATGAGTGCAGAATATTTAAAATAAAGCTATTTACTCCTGTACTTGTGAGTCATTTGAACCTCAAATTATGCAGCAAACAGATCCCAGGTGTATCAAAATCTGTCATTCAGATGCAGGCGCATGCCTACAGCAAGCAGAGGACGTGTACTTGAGACAAATCGTTGCAGCGAATCGCAGCTCTTCAGGTGATTTCTATGACTGAAGCACTCTTCCTGACACCCATGTACTCATCCACTTCCACAATTTTCAGCTCGCAGTGACCAGATGCTATCAGCCTCCTCTTCGCCTCCTACAGACCGCTCTCTGCAGGTGGCTTTCAACCAGCCGACACACGAGCCGAGGCCAAACATACACAGATCCTCACCGCTCCACTCACCTGAGGGCCCTGCGTGGGCGCCATGTTCATCAGGGGGCCACACACAGCCGCCATCTGGAGAGGGAGCTCCCAGCACTTCTGCACCCACTGACTTGCACTGAAGCCACTGAGCAACTGAATGAAGCAAAACAAATAGTGTTTTCATTAAACTGGGAAGCAAGAAATTACCCAGCATTCATCTAAAACCTGTGCAACCAGAGAAGAGAGGTGCAGACTAAAGCCAGAGGGAATTTGAGTCAAGAAACAATCAGGATAGTCTGAGAAAAATTACTTTTTGTAACATCAACCAAAACTTTTTTCTTTGACTTGATCTTTTGACGAATTATCAGGAGGATAACTGCAGATTTATCAACTTATGCTGCATATCAACATTTGACGTACATGGTTTCAAGACAAGATCTAAGAGGAAAAAAATAATAATAATCTTCAGGCTATAATGAAATCCTACAGGATGGAAATCTGTCCGGGTATCCAGTGGTGATTCATGCTTTAACACTTAAAGTCTCAATTGTCTTAATTGTATTTATAGCAGCTGCTTCTGCCACCGCTGTGATGTAAAATAATCCCGCCACACCGCTGAATGGCAATCTTTCAAAAACTCTGAGTTGACAAGTCATATGTGGAATGCACTTACTGTCAAACAGACTCAAAATGTCACCGTGGTACTTTGAGTCAAAGCTAAACATACATATGCAACTTATCAGGCCGATGTCAGCAGGCCACCGAATCAAAAAAGTTTACAGCAAGATAGTTTCAAAACACGAAACTGAGAAATAACCAAAGTGGATCTCCTGAAAAGTGCAAATCCTGGCATGGCTGTAAAGTCTTTTTGATATGTTTTGTTAATTTAGTTTTCTTCTGGTTTAATTAAAGTGCATTTTTAGTGTTTTCCCAATGGTGTTTTTGGCAGGGTGCCCCGCTCTGCCAATGAGATTACAACACAGAAATTGAATTCATAGATTAATATATCTGTGTTATTATTATTATTATATTTTTTTTATCAAAACACCCTTTAAAATATAATTTGCTCAATTTCTGGCTCTAAAGATCCTTACATACCAGGAGAGTTTTTTTTCCTGCATTAATTTTGGACGTCAATATTTTTTTCGAACCTGTATCCTGTCAATACAAACGTTCACATCAGTGACGTTTTCCTGTCCTGTGATATTGCGGCATTTATTTTTTCGTTTCACCGTCGATTTTTCAAAAGTTTCGGATACTGTGTGTCCACTTCTGATCATTCAGATTGTGTGTTGTGGCGACGTCTCATTCCCTGGTATATCCAACATGGCCGACTGGCTGATCGTTTACGTGTCAGAGAACAGAGAGCTTTTTGATAAAAGACACAAATATTACAAAGATAACGACCTGAAGGACAACTTGTGGAGAGTCATAGTGTCGGACTTCTCATATGACTATGGTTTGTGTGCTTTAACAGTTTGCTAAACGTCTTTGTTTTAACTTTCATCTGTGCTAAGTAACTTTAGCTCATAAGCTAACCTGTTCAGATACAACATACCATATGTATTTTCACTGTCTCAAACTCAGTCATGTTGCTGTCACAGCACCATTAGGTCTCGGTTGTTACCTTACGTTTATGGATTATAGTTTAATGAGCTTATCTGGTACTGGCCCCGACTCAGTACATGCTATCATGACAGACAGACATCTCAACACTAGAGTCTAATCAGAACTGAAAAACAGTCAGTCTGCTGTTGTGTCAGTCTTCTCACTTCCATCTTGGATGCATCTTTTTTCCCCCCGGAAAGTCACAAAATCACATCGCGCTTGATGTGTATAGTCAGGCGCATCGAAATTTGCCTCTGAATATTTCGTAATTTCACGTCATATATATACATCGTTCCCGGTACGCAAGGACCTTTATTCTTTGGATAAGTTTTCGGTGTTTATTTTCTGTTTTATTTTGTAGTAGTTGATTCCTTGGGTTTCTAGTCAGGTTTTACTTCCCTAGTTTTCCCTCCTTTGTTAATCACTCATGAGTTTCACCTGTGTCTCGTTAGCCTCACCTGTTGCTCGTTTGCCTGTGTGTGTATATAGTCCCTGTCTTACCCTCTGTCTTTGTTGCTTCATTGTGTGTTTGTATGTTATGTCTGTCAGTTCACCATGTTCCTCGATGTGTGAATCCCTAGTTTTTTTTCCCCCTGTGCTTTTTGTTTGATTTTGCCTTTGGGATTTCTCAGTTGGACCTCTGAAATACGTTTTTGTTGCTTTTCATTTAGTTCTTTTCAATAAATCTTTTTTTTTTTAGTCTGCATTTTTGAGTCCTTTTTCCATTTTTTAACCCCGCGTTGTGACAAGATTTTTTCATCATTCAAGGACAGATGACAGATGATCCCCAGTTTGATTTTGTGCAGCTAAGCATCTCTTCATCACGTCCCTGCTTTCTAAGCTGAACTCTGAAGTGAGACTCTTGAATGCAGCCGCGTTGAGTTTCTTTAAATGGAGGGGAGCTCCTGGAGACGCTCACACATCAAAAGTAATTAATTCGTCTAAAGTTGATAATCACAGCCTTAATTATACTTGTTTACATCTTCAGAGGTAAATCAGAAGGTCCTCTGCGTATTCATGAGTCCTTGATTATAAATACGGTTCAGCAGAAGAGGATTCAGTCCTGCGGCACCTGAGAGAGTAAATGACATTAATGCATGATTAATGCTGTTAAGAGAGCAATCACCAATTTGTCTCAACAGAAAGAGGAGGATTCTGATGAAAGAGGAAAACAAGTTTAATCTTATGATGATAGCTGTGTTGAAAACACTTTCAGCACGGTTCTGTGGAAATGATGAAAAAACAGAGACTCACTGAGCTTTTTGAAATGACCCTTTAATCCATGGGAAATTTTAAAGCTTTGTAGCTGATTTACTCATCGTTTGACGTCCGCTATCATCACAAAACACACACACAGAGGTCAGGTTAAGACCTTTATTTAACTTCTACACCTCAGTGTCATGCATCGTCCACTTAATTTGTACCCTTTGCTTTCTTCAGCAGCCATTTGTGATGCTTTCCCTGCTGATGTTTGTTTGTGAGTTGCTGAGGCAGCATGGTGTGCCAACGTCACGGTCAGCAGTTTGTAGATCTTTTAGTTTTCCATTGTGAGAGCACAAAGAGAGTAAACAGATTTAAAATAGAGTTTAAAGAAATGACTCTTACGGTCTCCGGTTGCAGTGCTGTGGATTTATTGAGTGGCTATGAATAAATAAGAAGCTTAGAGCTGCAGATACTTTATAATGTTGGACTTCCTAACTTGACTTTATTGCTGTTTTTGTCCAACACATCCAGAGCTTTCTTACTGTACATGAATGCACTCTGCAGCCTTGAGTTTCTGCGATGGAATCTAATTCAACTATTCAGATCCAGAGTGTTTATGGATGCAGGAAACCTCCTGCCTTATGAGTGAACCTGAAACGTGATTACAGAGTGAGTGGGCCCCTGCTGTTTACATCTATTCATGATTCAAATTGAACGGTTTGTATGAAAGCTTCCACCCTGCGGAAATCACGCAGAAGCAGCACACTATTCTTAAAGCAATGAGGTTCATTTGCAGACAAGGGGGCCGGATTGATTGTAAGATGGCTCATTTACACTCAAACAGCGCTGTGGCATGAGATGTTTTGCGTGGTCCTTTTAACTCTTTTGCACTCTGAATTTGAGGTGAGGTGTTTTTGTGCCTCTCTCAGCCTCAATGCAGCAGCATCAGGGTGAGTGTGTAAGTAGGCAACACAAAGCAGCTATAGGACCAGTGAGTGGTTTTTGGCAGAATGAGGGTGTTTTACTTCAGGGCCTTAAAATCAGCTCTTTCTCTTTGGTTGTTGTTGTTGTTATTACAGCTGATAGGGTTTGGATTGGCCTCTCTTTTGTAGCTGGTTTTAACGGAGTTGATGGCGTTCCGGAAAACAAGTCTGGAAACCAAGATAGGCACCTGCTGTTATAATGTTTAGCCGTTGTTAGCTGCTTTTAGCTGTTGTTAGCAATATCAGTTGCATAACACAGTATTTTACTCTTAAGGTCCTTACACACGGGGGCCAATGCGAATATAAAAAACGAAATTACGAAATATTCAGAGGCAAATTTTGACGCGCCTGACTATACACATTAAGCACAATGCGATTTTGCAACTTTCCGGGGGGAAAAAGACGCGTCCTGGGTGGAAGCGAGAAGACTGACACAACAGCAGACTGACTGTTTTTCAGTTCTGATTAGACACTAGTGTTGAGATGTCTGTCTGTCATGATAGCATGTACTGAGTCAGGGCCAGTACCAGATAAGCACATTAAACTATAATCCATAAACGTAAGGTAACAACTGAGACCTAATGGTGCTGTGACAGCAATGTGATTGAGTTTGAGACAGTGAAAATACATATGGTATGTTGTATCTGAACAGGTTAGCTTACGAGCTAAAGTTACTTAGCACAGATGAAAGTTAAAACAGAGACGTTTAGCAAACTGATAAAGCACACAAAACGTTGTCATGTGAGAAATCAAATGCTATGACCCTCCACAAGTTGTCCTTCAGGTTGTTATCTTTGCAAAATTTTGTGTCTTTTATCAAAAAGCACTCTGTTCTGCCATGTTGGATATACTGGTGAAGCTGACGTCGCAACAGCACGAAAATCTGATTGGTCAGAAGCTGATGTGAACGCTTGTATTGACAGGATACGGGTTATAAAAAAATATTGACGTCTGAAATAATCGCACGACAAAAATGGTCCCAGTGTGAAAGGACCTTTTAGAAACACTATAGAACCTTGTTCAAAGTTAGACATTGGGCAGTGCAACATATACCATTTATTTAATTTCACTAAAACAAAACGGAAGTGCTAATAAATAATACATTACGAGAGCTTTCACTGTTACTCTTTACTGTTGAGGCACTGTGCTGCCATCTTGGATTATGAAGTTGTCATCAAGTTGGGGTTGGTGAGGATCATCTGACTTTACAAGTCAGAAATTCAACTTCAGGGGGGCGTTCCAGGTGAATTTCTGAATGGGAACTCGGAAAATCCAAGCACAAATGGAACACAGCATAAATCCTTTGACATGCTTCATATTTTCACCCCTCCTTCTTTTCTTTGCATCTTTTCCAGATGGAAAACCCTTGAAATGTGACCTTGAACAACTACTTGTATATTTTGATAAACAAAAAACCCTCATTTAATGTATGTTATGACTCTTTTTAAAAAGCTAAAGTGGAGCTTTTATTTTAGATATGTACTTTCCATTGCCAATAATCAAACTTGTGGAGGCTCCATTTCTGTCTGTGATTGATTATGCTGATATACTGGACATGCATGCATCAATATCCACCCTACAAACCGTTGACTCAGTGTACCACATCGACTGCGTATAGAATGGACGCCGTCTGCCTCCTCGCTGGGTGAAGCCATCCCGAGAACAGCACCCTCAGGTCATGGGCTGCAGTATAGGTCATTAATCATAGGTCATATCCCGCCTCCTCCAGCAATCCCTATGGAGCTGTGGACAAACTTTAGAAACTAATTACACAGAATATGAATTTTTCTCCCCCCCGGTTGCAATATTGACATGTAGTTGCTGTAAGACCGTTGCTCAAGTCTTTTTTTATCTGTGCAGCTCCATTCTGATAGTAATTGGGGGGTTCATGTTTTCTATGATTGACACTTGATACAGCCTATGGACATACGAAGATTGCGGCTCACCCAGGGGATACGCAGTTTGAGCCGAGCGTCATCACAGCGATTCTTGGCTACTCTCTCACCGAATGCGTACCATGCTACCATGCAAGTGGGGGTTCCAGGAAGTAATTTGAATTCGTATAATGACAGAAGGCGGAGCCAAGTTGTCCATACTATATTCAGTCTATAGTGTACCACACATCTTGTTTCTTTGTTACCGATGAAAATGTACGTTTGCATTCTTTGATTTTTGGGGGTTGGACATCTTCAGCAATTTGCAGATGACCCCAGTGTATTTTTACTTGTAAAGCAATACCATCTGACCTCTACACCAGGTTTACTGGAGGCCACTTATAAGTTCTGACAGACCCAAGGAAAACCGTAATGATATCTAAGAAAAGCTGCTGAATGTCACTAAAAAAAGTGGTGGTTAAAAACTGCTTGTACTCTTGAAAAAGCTGTGTTTTCTCAGTGCAAAGAGTTTTCTCTGAGTAATAAATCTCTCAAACCGTGAAGCACCAGAACCAGATTCAGCTCCCCTCTAAAGGACAACCTTAAGTTGAAACTCTCGAGGCGTGCAGAGGATAAACTTAGTTCTTTACTAGTTTTGAGGTGTTCAATCACTTGAACACGAGGACTTGTTCCGGGCAAACAAAGCTGATTTCGTGGTAAAACCTCGAGTGGCTCCTTGAAGGTTACGGCTAATTGGGACTATTTATCAACAGACTGCAGCCAATAGTGACAAGTACATGCTCTTTTCCCTGTTTCTCATTACCGCTATCTGTAATGAGGGTGAATGTATCTGTGAATTTACATACAAGGGCAGCCAGGAGAGGAGGACGGGGGGAGCCGGTCAGAAATGGAGGGAACAATTCAGAATTTTTGTGGAGATTTTTTAACCTCAGAAACAAGGTGGATGGAGGTGATAGTGAGGGAAATTTCTGCTGTCAAAGGCCAGCTTTTCTAACTTATTAGTCTGAGAATAATGGAGTGATTAAAGGTAGGGAGGAAGTTTTGTAAACATCATGAAAGGCACAAAGAAAGCACCTCTAGCAATCTCCAAACCTTAAGAACAATATTTCAGCTTGCGTTTGGATTTGAAGGTTTGGACGTTAAACTGAATTAGAAATATAATTTGTACAAAAAGGTTGTGATTTGTTTGAAAATTAATCTTGAAGACACCAGAAGGAGGATCTTTATATTCTGATTAATCAGCCCAATGAGCAGGAGGTGAAAAATAACAGCCATCAGTACAGGGCCTGAGTCTACCTCTGATGGAAAACACAAGAACCTCTTGAGCTGGTGGGGCCAAATTAAATTTTTTAAAAGGTACCAAAACTCTGGAGGTGCTCCTAGGGTCCAGTCCTCGAGGCCCACTGTTTTGGATGTTTCCCTGCTCCAACACACCTGATTCAAATGATCAGCTCGTTATCAAGCTCTGTAAAGGCTTAATAACGAGCTGATCATTTGAATCAGGTGTGTTGGACTGGACTTGAGAAACACTGTATTAATGTATATGTATTTGTTATATGTGACAGTTAGTGTCCATGGACCTGCTTCAGTGTCAGGCTTTTCTTTTAGCCTTCAGTTCTGCCGGTGTCTTAGTATCAGACTGTATTATACTCCAAAGGCTGTGTGCATTGTTATGCTTGTGACTTAATGGCACCTTGTAGTTTATTTCTGTGTTCAACCTACTTGTAATTATCAGTCAATAAATGCTTTTAGACCAAAATGTTCCTGCTACAGAGACAGTTTGTAGTTTGAACATAAAGCTGCAAGTTCTGCTTTATATATATAATTATTTTTTTTATGAAAGAAGTCATCTTTTCAAGCAGCAGAATGAAGTTGTACTCTTTTTTTATAGCTAGCTAGAGTTAAAATGTCTTTACAGGTTTGAAGGTTGAAGATTTGTTCTGGGAAATCAGTGCACAAACCTTTTTATACATTTTCTTTCTTGCTATTGATCGTAAATAAATCAACACTTTTGAGCTATAGGCCTTCGATATGAAGGTGTAAAGCCAGTGCCCGCCAGTCTTCCTGGTTTGTGAGAGACATTTGAAAAGGATGTTTTGTGCATATAAAGCTGTGGTTGTATTTCTTCAGGTAACTGTCATTGGTAGATTTGCAGAGATACAACCTTCACTGATCAACATCCCATCAGCTGATTGTTGTTTAGATAAAACGTTCACCTCTTTCAATCAAATTAAAGCAGATCAGGAGCTACAGCCTGATTTCCATTATTACAAGCTTTAGTTTACATTTGTGCACTACCTACCTACCCTTTGTCTTTGATGATATAGTCTAGATACTTTTAACCCCAAATTTCCACCGTATTTGGAACAGCACCACTGCGGAATGGCAGAGATTTTAGCCATCTGGCAATTCCTACCGGATGCATTTTTGAGGTGATTTTCATGGCGAATTTCGGACAGTAGGAATTGTGAGGACTCACAAGAACCTGCGAATTCAAATGCAATGGAAATGTAAATCCACTCTGTCAAGCCCAGTAGATCAGACACAACCGTATTTATCTTTATCTACGAAACAGATAATAAACTAAAAAATGTATGAGTACATCCCCGCCCACGTTTGCATGGTGTGAAGTACGATCCACCTGAGGCACATTGTGTTTTATTTTGAGAAGAAGACGGATGTTTTAATTCGTGTCTGTACCCGACTTCCTTTCCAGCACGGGGCTAATCTGTGATAAATTTATGCGGCATGCTGCGAAGCCCGCTTAACTGCAGGGGGCTGGAAAGAAGCAAGTGGAAATTGACACATGATCTTGCATGGAAACAATCAGTGGCGATCGGTGCTGATAGCCTTTTTACCGCTGTTCCACATTCGGTGGAAATTTGAGGATGATGCAACAGCTGATTCTACTCAAAATTCATCTCCATCGAAAAAGGTTAATGTGGGGAACCTGTTTGTTATGTTTTCAGACTTTTAAGCAAACAGTTTCAACTTTAAGTTCACACACGTTGGTTGGATGAATAAAACTTGGTGGCTGGTAGACGCTGAAGACTGATGAAAAGTAAAGCAATTCTTAACTTTTTGGACCCGAATATGTAAAAAGGAGACCAGCTTTAAGCCCATTTGATGTTAAAAATGAAGTTTCATTCAAATAAGTTTATCAGTAACATGATAAAAAGTACATGAACGCTTGTAAAAGACTCTAATAACTTTTAAATAAAACAAAGTTTAGTTCTATTAAAGGTCTGAAAGCTTTCCTGACCTTCTGTTTCGGTACAATGACAGCTCTTAACAAAGACAGATTGTGACAGGAGGTGGATTTGCGCTGAAAAACAGACATCCTTATCTGGTAATTACGGGTACAATACTGTCACATTTCATTCCACTCGGTACCTGCTATCAGAGCTGAAACAAATAAAGAGTGCATCTCGTCCTGAATCCAAATGTGACATACAGTTTGCTCTCAGAAACTGTCAAAAGACGAGCCGGAGGGAGTATCTCCGCTCAGGATTATTCCGGCTCTTTCTTTGCTCAGAGATCAGCAGTGCCGGGTTGATTTAATCATTCACATTAACGCTGCTAATTAAAATTTCTGCGCCCATGTTGGTGAAAAGGCCTTCAGAAGAGAATTACCTTGAGACAGCGTCCTCCAGGCCATCAGTATGCAGGGATGCCGCCGCTGCTCGGCTTGCTTGACAAGTCTTATCTTCAGCCGTCGTCCACAGGTGTTCGCTGTCACAGGAGTGTGATCAAAATGCTGCGCAGGGACTGGGCTGCAGCCAAACGCTATTTACCCGCCAGATTACAGAAAGGCAGGCTGCTGGGAGAGGAAAGCATCACCACATGCATCTTCACTCTTAATAACAGTAACAGCCCCCAGCAGCTACAAACAAGCTAACATTTCCCTTTTAAAAGCTGGAAGAGCCTGCAGAGAGAGAGAGAGAGAGGGAGAGAGACATTACAATCAGACAGAAATACAGGCAGCATGAATCTTTATGTGTGTGTTAAAATTTCACTGCAGAACATGTGCAGCAATGATGGCTGAGGTGTTTCTGGATAATGCGGAGATGATACCGACTGTGTGCTGAACTAAATGTTTACACCCTGCATGCAGCTGCACATTTAGAAACATAAAGTAAAAATATTAAGATAATTTCAGTGCAGCATTTATTACCAATATAAAAAGACTTAAAACCCCAACTCCTGCATAAAACTTATAAAATCATAGGCCATAATAACTTAGGAGATTGTACACATCTGCTTCCACTCGGTGGAGCATGAGGGGAAAACAGGACATCAACACTTCTTTTATTAGCAGAAACATGTATTTTCCGTCTTGATAGAGTTGGTTTGATTTAACCCTGGCTGTTTCTCTGCACCAATATGAGAGGAAACAACCTTAGAGGAAAGAATAAAAATAATCAAGATACAAGACTTCAGGTCCTGACACACCGGGACCGACGCAAATATACGACACGAAATTACGAAATGTTCTGAGGCAAATTTTGACGTGCCTGACTATACACATCAAGCCCGATGCAATTTTGTGACTTTCCGGGGGGAAAAAAGGAGACTGACACAACAGCAGACTGACTGTTTTTCAGCTCTGATTAGACACTAGTGTTGAGATGACTGTCTGTCATGATAGCATGTACTGAGTCAGGGCCAGTACCAGATAAGCACATTAAACTATAATCCATAAACGTAAGGTAACAACCCAGACCTAATGGTGCTGTGACAGCAACGCGATTGAGTTTGAGACAGTGAAAATACATATGGTATGTTGTATCTGAACAGGTTAGCTTACGAGCTAAAGTTACTTAGCACAGATGAAAGTTAAAACAAAGACGTTTAGCAAACTGTTAAAGCACACAAACCATCGTCATATGAGAAATCCAACGCTATGACTCTCCACAAGTTGTCCTTCAGGTGGTTATCTTTGTAATGTTTGTGTTTTTTATCAAAAAGCACTCTGTCCTCTGACATGTAAACAATCAGCTGGTCGGCCATGTTGGATATACCAGTGAATCAGACGTCGCAACAACACGCAATCTGATTGGTCAGAAGTGGACACACAGTCTGCGAAACTTGAGAAAAATTGACCGTGATGCGAAAAAAAAAATACCGCAATATCGCAGGATGGGAAAATGTTGCTGATGTGAACGCTTGTATTGACAGGATATGGGTCCGAAAAAAAATATTGACGTCCGAAATAATCGCAGGAAAAAAATGGTCCCTGTGTGAAAGGACCTTACATCTGTAGATTAGTTCAGTTCATTTCATGTTTCCCAGGCTCAAGCTGTATTGCCCCCGGAAGCTCCAATAACCAATCATAGCAACGCAGTATGTGAAGTAACATGGAGCGGCAGAAAATCTAAACAGATTGAGGTATGCATGTGAAGATACATCAAGTTTGTTGAAATCGCTGTAATGGCAGATTCAACTGGCTTTCTTGCAGTAGAGGCGGCCATCTTTTTTGTTTACAAAAAGGCTGATGTGTCCTGTGCCATCATCTTTCAAAACCCCTCCACATATCCATATATCTATTTGTTTTCTTCTGCTTATCCAACATGAGGTTGTGGAGCCAGGCATTCCTCACCCGATTGGCTCTGACTTCCTCCAGATCTCCACTTCTAGGCTTCTCTCTAAAACTGATCTGATCCCCTTTAGAGGTAAGTCATTCGGGCCATTTGTAATTGTAAACTCATTCTTTCAATCAGACTGTATATAGAAGAACGCCGTTCGTCTCCTTGCTGGGTGAAGCCACCGCGAGAGCAGCACCCTCTGGTGACGGGCAGTATAGGTCATAAATCCTGGCTTCTCCAGCAATCCCTATGGAGCTACAGACAAACTTTAGAAATTTATTACACAGAATATAATTTTTTCTCCCCCCTGGTTGCGATGTTGACATGTAGTTGTTGTTGTTAGACTGGTTTGTGCTCAAGTCCTCTTTTTTCTGTGGTGTATTTGTAATTGACAGGAAATCGAGGGCAGAATTCACAGAAACTAGTGTCCAGGAAAGTGGCTGAGCACAGAGCATTTTTACTTGGTAATCTTCCACCTCTGCAACCAGACACATTTTGAATGTCTTTGTCCTGTCCTTAAAATCCAGATACTCTGATGAATTGTGGCTCTTTGGGTTGAAGTAGAAGTCTTTTTTCTTGAACAGACCAGCTCCAGGCCCTCCAGATCTGGATAATAAACTTAAATGTCATCATAAGAACACAACATGATTCTTCAAACTCCAAACACAAGAGGCTGGGAATAAGAAATGAATTCTCCATTGTGGCTGATTTTCTCTGAACAGCGCAGAGATTCATGCTTTCTCAAACAATAGATACAATATCAATCACAGCTGGGAAACGCTTTTGGGCATTTTCGTTCAAACGTTTTTGGCTGGCTGTTGAGTCGGGTTGGTAGCGTGAGAAGAATGAGTGTTATTTCCTGAAACTGCCTTCGGTTATTCCATTTGTCAGGCTTTCAGGAGCGAGCTGGAGATGCATTTGAGCTGCGTTTGATCCAGCAGCCAGCTGGTCTACGCCAACAAAGGACTGCTGAGGCTGATCACCCTAAAACTGGTGTCAAACCAGACCCTCCAAACCAGACAGATATACTCCATAATGGGAAACGACACAACCAACTGTGGGAAACACTTAGAAATGAGCTTGTTGACAGATTAGCATTTTTTCGCCTGTAGGTCCTAGTGAGTTTTTATCTCTGATAAAGGAATATGCTCCCAGCCGACTGTTCACCAGAGATAGAAAATAAAAGAGAAAACACTTTAATAGGCCATTTTTCTCTGCTTCCTGATGTGTCCTTGTAAAGGGACTATTAAGTTGTCTTCAGAGACAAATTACAATAGAGATAAAGCGAGCGTGTTTGTTGATCCGACTGATCTCAGCCAGCTGTAAAGGAAGCCAGAAGGTTTCTGTGTAATCGCCAAACAAGCAGCAGATAACATCACAACCTGACGTTCAGACCGAGCTGTTATAAACGGCTTTCACTTCCACATTAGCAGGATGACTTTCATTCATCTCCTGCTCTCCCCCTGCCATCCACTCATGATATCTGTGATTTTAAATGTCAGCGAGGAAAAAGGCCAGCTGAAGGTGAGGACTGAGATTTCTCATCAGCAATAAAAAAGATATGAGGACAAACTTTGGAAAAAAAGTTGCTGAGCTTGACAAAGAAGTGTATTGCATGGTGAAAGAAGAGGGTATGCTTTTAGTCAAGTGTCATATTTGCCTTGTTTGAAATAATTATGATTTATAGTGTTCTGGTGCATGATATTGAGTCGAGTTATTAGCATCCTGCTGGGGCATGGACCAATTAGCAGCATGACTCTCTGCACCTGTGGAGCTCTATCCCTTTTAATAGACATTCCTAAGGACCAAATGAAGATGATAATGGTGCGGTCAGTGACAAATTAGCGCCCAACAGCTGGGACACAAACCAGGAAGAAAGAGCGAGGAGCAGTGGGGGTGGACAAGAGAGCAACAACTATGAAACATGACAGCGCCTGTATCTGAAGAGGGGGAAGCCCTGCAGAGCTGAGGGTGTCCAGAGTGATGTAACATGACCTAGCAAGGACATTTTCTTTAGTGCATTTTTTTTTTCCTTTGCAATCTTGCAACTGTCTGGCTGCATTTGAAGTTTATCTTTTCTTTCGCTGCAAAGAAACTGCTCCATACCTGTTTGAAAAAAGAGAAAAAAAACATGATTAAATCAGTTTTATCATCATCTCTTAAAAGAGCATTTTTGACTCTTCAACAGACAGCTCTCCTCAAAAACTGACCTGATTACAACAGTAGGGAAATTGTTTTTTCTCGCCTATATCTATCTGTTCATTCGTGATAGTGATGAGAAGAACAGTTATTTTGACTGTACCATTCATTAAAAGAATTCGTTTAAAAGATTCGTTCACTGAATCAGTCAGCACGATGGAGTCCCCCTCTGCCGGTGCAGTACACGAGTGAGTGACGCAGCTGCGAATTCGTTCATTGAAAAGGGAGACACGTGTCGTTCATTTACCAAGTCGTAAAAGGAAGAATCACTCCCCTGCCCTGAAAAATTTGCCTCTCTGTGTATCGCCGTCGGCGGAAACAACACAGCAGCAAGCAGCACGCTTGCTAAATGAGCTTGAGTCGTCATTCTGGTACTTTTAAGGTATCAAATAGCCTATTCCTTTAAATCGGCTGAAATTAAATCCTTCTTGCAGGAAAGTTTATACACGTGTTTTAATGTAAAGGCACTATAATGCAGTGTTTTTTATCTTAGCCTCAGTGAATAAACCAGTGTTCAGCAGTAAGTGAGTGACACTACACCCCTCCCTCCTCTGCCCGCATCAAATCATTTGGAAATCGTTTGTTTCATTCACCATGTCGTTCACTGACTGACTGAATCATTCTGTTCACTTACTGATACATGTTGTTCACAGACGTTTCATTCACATCGACTGATATCATTCATTCACTGTGAGCAAATCATGAGACTCCGCCCGCTCGCTGGCTGGCTGTGTGTCGTTCGGCTGAGCTCAACTGAACAAAAAAAGGAACGAATCAGGTCCCGGAGTGATTCAGTTCACATTGTTCACTCAGCAGTTCTGTTCTTTTGAATGAAACGTTCGTGAATGACACAACACTAATTCGTGACTTCTTTATCCAATGGCACTAGTGTTGTGTCATTCGCGAATGAATCATTTAAAAGAACCGAGTCTTTTGAGTGAATTTACTGAACCGAATCACTTCCTGAAGTGATTCGTTCATTTCTCTCTCCGGTTGAGCTGTCAGCCACGCAGCTGCCATAGCACGCAGAATTGCCGGGTGAGCAGCTGGCGAGCAAGGGACCATGCACTCCAATACCTGGATCACTTGGTGAACGAATCACGCAGTGGACTACACTTTCTTGAATCGTTTTTGGCTGAGGGATTCAACTTTGCTAAATTGCCACCACAAGAACTTGCATATAGTAGGACACAGCATAAAAAAAGTAGTGTACATTACCCGCAGTTTGAGAAATGCGTGACTGTCTGATCCCATTATTGCTGCGATTTGCAAGGGAACGATGCATATGCTGGGTGAATTCGTCATTGGATGTTCTGTGGGGTAAACGTTCAGTGAACGAATCACTCACTGAGCCCAATTTACCGAGTAGACCAGATAAATAGCATAACCACTGGACAGAAAATTCATTTCCACAAACCTTTTTGTCAAAGCAACACAACCACAACCACAACCACAACACTTATCTCACAGTCCCAGGACCCGTGAACTGAAGTGAAACCATTCAGCTGTGTATCACCTCAGGAAGTCAGAGTCTCAGACTCCTCCCGCCAAGTGCTGAGTGATTCGGTGAACGAATCTTTTAAACAAATCTTTATAGTGAACTGATTCTAGTGATTCAGTACATCTAAAAGAACTGCCGTGCCCATCACTAAATGGCACAGTGGCAGACCCCCACTGTTAACTTGCTCTCTACAAATGTTAGAAAGTGCACCAACTCTTTGATACACCGCTTCAAGGTAGATGACATCTGTCTGTCACTTCTTAAAAAAGTTTCTGTTGCTATCAAAAATACACATTAGATGAGGACTTCTCTTGCAACCAAACGTTATTGCAACCTCAGGCACCAGAAACTGGAGCTGCATGAGCCATTTCTAGATTTGCAGTATTTATTTCCAGTTCTAGTTCATTATTAAATAAAAAACTTAATATCCCCGGATCTTGAACTGTTATTTTAGAAATTAAATATCTGAAAAGGGGATTTAATAATCACATGCTTTTTCTTGCACCTTTGGTTGAAATTAGCGTGGCCATTAATAAGTCTAGAGGGGTGAGAGAAAAGGGGGAGAATCTCAGCTAAAACAGATCAGAGTTAAGTCCATTAAAAGCTGCTGAAAAGCTCTGCACATTTTCCAGACATAATGTTTCTGAGGAGCTTCAGGCTCTTTTCTTACGCATAACCTGTTCTGAACA